ATGACCACAGAGACGTCTTTGGACAGTGCTGGCTCTTTGGCTTTGAAACAGAGATGAGTACCGCCCCCTAGAGTTGGGAACAACTAGCACATCTGTGCGTGGGGAACCTTTACATTTACCTAAAGAAAACCAGCTTCTTGTAATTTCTAATAATGCAAAATTTGGAATTCCTAGGACTGATTGCTATAATCAGTCAGAGGAGCAGTTAAAATCTGAAAAATCTTTGAATTGCTATTGAAAATTTGAATACAAATCAGTTCATGAACCTACAGAGTGTGTAAAGGAACTTGAGATGTCCTAAAGGGGTTGATAAAACAGTATGTTTCTCATAATCTTAATGAGCTGTTAAATTTGAATAGTAAGAAGAAAATCCAAAATAAATTTGTAATGTATGGGAAATAGTGTTGAAACTGCTGAGATGACAGCAAAAATATTCTGGTCTAGTATTTGCTATCCTTTTCCAATTATCCCTGTGTTACGTTGTCACTCAAGAGTGGTATCCTGATTTTCCATGTACAGGATGAGTGAAGTAAAACAAGCAGATTGCCCAGCTTCAGTGGCCTCCGTTGTTCTGCACATACTCAGTTATCAAAAAACCATCTGACAATTAGGACAGTCATGCAAGTGTGGTGAACACAGGAGTTGGGGTGATGGCAAACTTTGATATATGTCCACAGTCCATCTGTGGTATTCTGTGATGAACAATAAAATGGGATAGCACAATAATCCAAACTTGCCTGTATTTCAAAATACACAAGCATTAGTACCTGCAGAAAAGCTATTCAGTTCTCTGAGAAAAAAAAGAGGGAAAAAAACGACTAAACCTCTATATGGCCAGAAGCTGTCCCCAGATTTTTGAATTGGCTATGGGAACTGGCAAGAAAAACATTTCCTGCAAAACTCCAGAGAAATGGGATGTTTATATTAGCCTGAAGTGGAAAATAGGTGTGATAACCATTTTTATGCTTTGTGTCTCAACTGATTGAAAAAAAAAAGTGAGATAAACTCATTAGTGGGAGAGTCCTATCTATCTATCTATCTATCTATCTATCTATCTATCTATCTATCTATCTATCTATCTATCTAATCTATCTATCATCTACAGTATCTCTATATAAAATCTTTCCTTTTCTTGTTTGTATTATTGTAACTGTAATCTTTAATATTTTTTTCAAAGAAGAAAGGTTAATCCTCCCTTCAGTATTACCTTTCAAAAGATTAATCTTCCACCTCACTAAAGGTAAACCGCTCCAAACTGGATTGCAGAAAATACGACTTCAGCAACAGAGTGGTCAATGCCTGGAATGCACTACCTGACTCTGTGGTTTCATCCCCAAACGCCCATAACTTTAACCTTAGACTGTCTACTGTTGACCTCACCCCATTCCTATGAGGTCTGTAAGGGGCATGCATAAGTGCACCTACATTCCTACCATCACTATCCTACTGTCCCCTTTTATTTGTACCCATTTCCTATATTCATAATCTTATACTTATATCTGTTATCTTATACAAAAATATATAAATAAATAATAATCCCAGTGAGCTCTTTCCCCACATTCTGAAAGTGTAATGTAGAATTGAGAACTTCTTCATTTTTCCAGGATACAAAAGTGTTCTAACATCATTAAGAAGATACCAAATGACCTTGGAACCACTCTAAGGTTACTGATTTAAAATCCCAGAAATTGAGAAAATACCTCATGTTTTAGTTGGTTTGTTTAACTCACCTGCTTAAATTTGGGATTCCATCCAATGGCAGTTGTATTTATGGTGAGGCCTTCCTTTTGAGAACTCTGAGGTTCAACACGTCCAACTTGGACCTTCTGAAAGGATCGATTGGGGAAAGTAATCAAGTTGATGATATCGTATGCTGCTGCCAGGTTTCCATTCTCATTGAAAACTACTTCTTCCCCAGCACTATTGTTGAAATGGAGGTTTTTCAGAAATAATCGAAGCTAAAAAATAAGAGAGATAAGTGAGAAATTTATGCCAATAGTAGGCAATAGAATGTACAGTTCCATGCTGGGATTTACCAAATGGCACTCAAGTCATTTTTAACTAGCAGCCAAACTTTAGCGTTAATAGTATTTTTTTTAATATTCCAAAGGCATAATTCTATTTTGCAGGACTATATTTTATGTTTAAGTATTATTCTTTCGATGTGCCTTTACAGAGAGATTCAAAGAAACATATTCTTCCAACATTTACTGGGTATCCTGGCCACTCCGACACTCCTTATCTCCAGTGGCTGCTTAAGTCCATTACTTCTGCGCAGGTGGCTAAATTCTGCACACCAGCATTGGGGATTCATCAGAAACACATTTCTAATCCACCATAGCTATTTTACACAACAAATATGGCAAACCTGTTGCACTGCTTCTTTCTTTCTTTTTAAATATTAAACTGACTATGGGCTACAAGTTTATGAATTGTAATTTTAGACCATATATAATCGACAGGCTGGATTTTATCATCAATTTTATCTGTTATTTATTATTTATAGTAGAATTTTTAATTGCATATTTACTGAGTGTTTTTATTGATTCTGGTGTCTGGTCTATGACTGTAATAAATGGAATTTATTTTATTTTATTTTATTTTATTTTATTTTATTTTATTTTATTTTATATTTTATTTTATTTTATTTTATTTTATTTTATTTTATTTTATTTTATTTTATTTATTTTATTTTATTTTTTATTTTGAATTTGTATACTGCCCTTCTCCCTGAGGACTCAGGGCGGTGAATAGCCAAGTAAAAACATCAAGTACAAAGATTAAAATACAATTAAAAAGACACATGAATTTGGCCCCATTAATTAAAAACGATAAACAAAACAATTAAAAACATTTAAAAAGTGTTAGGCCACTAATACTAAAGGAATTGACTTTAATTAAAATAGAGTTTTTTGGTCAGATATATTGCACATGTTGCACTTCATGATGGATAAAATTTTTGCTAAGAAATATAACAGAATAATAGAATAACAGAGTTGGAAGAGATCTTGGAGGTCTTTTAGTCTTCTAGTCCAACCCCCTGCTCAAGTGGGAAACCCTATACCAGTGATGGCTAACCATTTTGCCATCGCATGCCAGGAGGGGGGGTGGGTGGGGGAGGTTTGCATGTGTGCGTATCCACACCATAATTCTATGCGACCCCCCTCTGCATGCGTGCGCAATCCCCCTCCCCCCGCTCCTGGCACGCGATGGCCTGGTAGGCCCATTTTTCTTTCTTACCTGGCTCCAGATCGTCTCTGTGCATCTGGGGAGGGCGAAAACAGCCTTTCCCACTCCCTCGGAGGCCCTCCAGAGGCCTGAAAGGGCCCATTTCCCAACTCCTGGTGGGACAGGAAGTGACCTTTTTTGCTGTGCCCAGTCTCCAGAGACTCCTAGAGAGGGCTCCGAGGGAGTGAGAAAGGCTGTTTTTCACCCTTCCCAGATAAATAGTGAGGATCTGGAGCCAGGTAAGAAAGGAAAACGGGCCAGGCCCTCCGGAGGCAGGAAACAGCCTGTTTCCCTACTTCTGGTGGGCCCAGAAGGCCGGAAAATTTGCTGGCCTGCACGCGCATGCGTGCCAGAGCTGAGCTGGCATGCCCTCTGATATGGCTATGTGTGCTACCTGTGGCATGCATGCCATAGGTTCGTCATCACGGCCCTATACCATTTCAGACAAATGGTTGTCCAATCTCGTCTTAAAAACTTCCAGTGTTGGAGCATCCACAATTTCTAGAAGTTAGAACAGTTAGAACAATTATTTATCTTACCCCTGCCACCAATTTCATTGATTATTATTATTATTTTGCACAATTTTTCCTTCTCTCTACTTTAGTGAATTTTTTTCTGCTATTCAACCACAAAATGCTGCATAAGAGGTAGTCATTTACTGGATTGAAACTTGGAAAGGAAGCAGAAGACCTCTGGGAAAAAATATCTCTATATACCTAATATAATATCTGTGAAAAAAAAAATCAAAATTGCAACAAGAAATACATACTTTCAGAGGTTACCACCAAGCCTATAGACAACTAAAAATTATAAATTTTAAAGACAAAAGGGACAAATATAAAAACTGGAAAGAGAGGCACCTAACCAAAGCAGAATATCAACAAATATCTTGAGACTGCAAAAATGAAGTCAGGAAAGCTAAGGCTCAAAATGAACTAAGTCTTGCGACAAAAGTAAAAAACAATAATAACAACAACAACAAAAGCTTCTTTCAACATGTAAAAAACAAGAAAAATGTCAAGGAAATTATTGTCCATTAATGGGAGAAAATGGCAAGAAAGTAATGAACAACAGGAAGAAAGAAGAACTGCTTAATTAATTTTTTGCAGCTGCATGGGAAATGCAGGAATACAACTTAAAATAGATAAGAAATAGATAAGAAAAAGGTAAGAGAGCACCTGTGTACCCTACGCGAGTTCAAATCAACAGGACCAGATCGTTTACACTCCAAGCTTCTGAAGGAACCGGCAGATGTGATCATAAGAGCCTACCGTCCCTGTCCTAATGTTTCCTTTAATTGTATTCATTTTATGTATTCAATTCATGCTTATACTTATTTATATTATCTAATATGTACTCGGCAAAATAAATAAATAAATAAATAAATAAACAAATAAACGATATCTTTCAAAAATCCTGGAGCACTGGGGAACTATCAGAGGACTGGAAAAGAGGTGACGTAGTTCCCATCTTCAAAAAAGGGGAAAAATGGATCCCGGAAACTACAGACTTATCAACCTGACATTAATACCTGGGAAGATTCTGGAAAAGAAAATCAAATAATGAATCTGTGAACACCTTAGGCAAACAAAGTTGTAGCCAAGAGCCAACATCAGTTTGTCAAAAACAGATCATGCCAGACAAATTTTAGTGAACAAGAAAAATGCTGTGGATATAATTTACTTGGACTTCAGTTAGGCATTTGATAAGGTAGACCATAACCTACTACTTGCTAAAGTAGAAAAATGTGGGTTAGACAGCATCACCACCAGATGGATTCATAATTGGCTGACCAACTGCACTCAACATGTAGTCCTCAATGGAACTGCATCTACATGGATGGAAATATGCAGTGGGGTACCCCAAGGCTCTGTTTTAGGCCCAGTACTCTTCAACATCTTCATCAATGATTTGGATGAGGGGATAGATAAGCCATCAAATTTGCATATGACACAAAATTGGCAGAAGTAGCCAACACTCCAGAAGATAGGCTTAAAATACAGAAGGATGTTGTCAGACATGACCTATCGGGCACTATCTAACAAAAGAAAATTCAATGGTGAAAAAAGTAAGGTTCCATATTTTGGTAAGAAAATAGTAGTAACTGTGACAGGGATCTTGGGGTCTGGTGGACAATATGAGTCAGCAGTGTGCTGCAGCTGCCAAAAAAGCCAAGTCAATCCTAGGCTGCATTAACAGAGGATAGAATCAAGATCATTTGAAGTGTTAATACCACTTGACAAGGACTTGGCAGGTGGACCAAGGCAGTCATAGAATGGATCCCAGTTGATAAAAAAGTGTTTTATCAACTCTAATCACTTTTCACTGTTGATAAAAGGTGTCTACAAAAGAGACTAAAAAGAAGATGGATCAATGACATCACCAAATATTGTGGGTCTAATTGGCAAAAGAAAGCTCAGACCATATTGGTTTGAAACATGGGAAGATGCCTTCATCCTGCAGAGCACATTTCGAATACTGCATCCAGTTTTGGTCACCACATTGTAAAAAGGATGTTGCAATTCTAGAAAGAGTGCAGAGCAACCAAGATGATTAGGGGATTGGAGACTAAGATGTGTAAAAAAAGGTTGCTCGAATTAGGTATGTCTAGTTTAATGAAAAGAAGGACTAGTTGTGATTTGATAGCAATCTTAAAAATATATAAGGGGTTGCTACAAAGAACAGGGGGTCAACCTATTCTCCAAAGCACCTGAAAGAGGACAAGAAGCAATGGGTGGAAACTAATCAAGGAGCGAATCAACCTAGAACTGAGGAGAAATTTTCTGACAGTTAGAACAATTAATCAGTGGAACCACTTGCCTGCAGAAGTTGTGAATGCTCCAACACTGGAAGTTTTTAAGTAGATATTGGATAACCATTTATCTGAAGTAGTGTAGGGCTGTGATGGTGAACTTATGGCATGCAAAGCCTTCTCTGCAGCACGCCAGCAGTCGCCCCAGTCCAGCTCCACCGCGTATGCATGTGTGCCTCCAGCCGACCACCTGGTCTTTTGGTCTCTGCCGTGCATGTGCAGGGGTGGGGCGCATGTGCGGGATGTCCATGTCCATGTCTGTTTGGGGGGGCAGAGTGAATGCATGGGGGTTCAGGAGGCTTTCCAGGCCCAAAATGGGGTTCAGGGGGAGCCCTCATGTGAATGCATTCGTGCGCGCATGCTTTGGGCACTCGGCACCAAAAAGGTTAATTATCACTGGTATAGGGTTTCCTGCCTGAGCAGGGGGTTGGACTAGAAGACCTCCAAGGTCCCTTCCAACTATGCTGTTATTAAACAGTAATTTTTAAACATATATTTTAAATCTATCTATCTATCTATCTATCTATCTATCTATCTATCTATCTATCTATCTATCTCTACACACACACACACACACACACACACACACACACATATACATACATACATACATACATACACTTTAGAGGAGAAGCTAAATAAAGAATATGGTAATATTCCTTGTTTCATGGAATCAGAACAGAGTTCAAAAGTACTACAAGTTTATTTCATGCTACCTATTACAACATTCTGAACTATCAATGGTCAAGGTGAATTGGCACCAGAGAAGAGCCAACGGACTTAAAGGGGGGCTGGAATTAGGTCTTTTATGGGGGTGTAGAGACACCAAACTGATGATGCATTTGACCCTACCCTCGGGCTCAACCTTGTAATCTCCTACATTATCCAAATGAAAAGATGTTTTGTTCAGACAATTTCAGATGAATGCAGACTGTTGTAAAATATACTGTTAATGAATTTTGAATTTTGTAAAAATTGAAATCAATATGTTATTACGGCTACATTCCCACTACATTAGAAGGAACCATAACTCACCTGCCAAGGTTGGACTTTCAGCAAATTCCACTTCTCTCCATTGCCTCTTGTCTTCTGCCTGGCTCTGGATGAATACATAGCATGGAGACCATGTGCTACAGCATAGACAGCATTGTAAATACTGTAGCTCTGGCCAGACATCTCCATTTCAAAGACAGTTCCAGGGAGACTCCCCAGATCCTCTTTCCCAGTGCAGCTTCCTTTGCCTGCTGCATATATATTGTACATTGGAAGTGAACAGATAAATGCTGCCCTCCAGAATTGAGGTAGGAAATGCACTTTAGAGTGATATGGATTTAGCTTCTCAAGGAACTCTTGAAAGCCTGGGACCCTATTTGTGTGTAGGGCAAAAGACAGGCTTCCATTGAAAGACAATGCTGTAAATTTCTGAGGTTCAAAGACAGAAGTGACATCCCAGAGAGCACTTATGACCCAAACCCTCTCAATTGGGAGCCTTTGACTAATTTCATAGCATTCAAGAATTACTCGTAAGCCTTCTATAGATTGCATGTCCCCATAAACTAGTATTACATTGGTTTTACTATACCACAGGACACGTCCTATTTTACCTAGATTAATCTTCCGTAAGGTACTGGGGTCATAATTTGTCAATCTTGGAATAAGTTGAATTAAAGAAATGCAAATATCACTCTGGATGAATTTTGGTCTCAGAATTCTGAGAAATCTCTCTCCACTGGTGTCTTCTGGAATGAGCAGGTCAATCCAATTCCATCCAAAATATTTCAAGAGCTGAATAATCCCAGCATACTGGAGGTTTTCATTTGGAGTCATCCAGAAGAAAGAAGGAAATTGCTGTTTATCACTCAATGCCAGGTCAAAAGTGCCATAACTGAGCTGCAGAGTGGGAATAATAATGATGTATTTTTAGATGAAATACTGCTTCTGTAGACACATAAAAAAAAATGGAAGTATTTCTTTTGGACCTGTTTTTCCATAAAAAAATCTTGATGGGTGAGATAAATACTAAATCTGGAGATCAACAAGTCTTTCCTGAGAGCTTTGGTAACCAGACCACCATTAGAATTCCATTCATCCCTTTTTAGACAAAGTCACCTCAATCTTTGATTGTGCTAAGTAGAAATAGAGAGCAGATAAAGATAAAGGTTCTACTCGCACATATGTGCTAGTCGTTCCTGACTCTAGGGGGTGGTGCTCATTTTCATTTCAAAGCCAAAGAGTCAGTGCTGTCTGAAGATGTCTCGATGTTCATATGGCCGGCATGACTAAATGCCAAACATCCATGGAACCCTGTTACTTTCCCACCAAAGGTGGTCTCTATTTTTCTATGTACATTTTTTACCTGCTTTCAAACTGCTAGATTGGCAAAAGCTGGGACAAGTAACAGGAGCTCAGCCCATTATGCAGCACTAGGGATTCGAACCACTGAACTTAGATTGACAAGGTCAGCAGCTACTGAGCCACCATATGCCTTTTAGAGAGCAGATAGGAATGAGTAATAAGAGAGGCGGCTTTTTCATTAAGGATCTGACAGTATTCATCTTCCATTTTATATTATGAGGGTAAGATAATTAGGATAAGCATATTTAAAATTCTTGTGAATATAGAATACCCAGAAGATGGAGAGACAACATCAGATACACTACTACAATATCAATTAACAATGCCTGAGGCCACCAAAAGAGCAAGAACAAGAACCCAAAGTGATAAAGAGAAAGACAAGAAGGAGGAGGAGGAGGAGGAGGAGGAGGAGGAGGAGGAGGAGGAGGAGGAGGAGAAGAAGAAGTCCGAAACAGTGATAGCTATACAGTTTCTACAAACTAAATATGTTTGTGCTTATTAAGAATTACTACACATATAATAGTAATTGATGCATTGCATTTCTCTGACAAAATAAGTAAATAAAAACTCTAAAACGAGTTCCCCAATATTGCAGCTGTTTTTGAGGGGTTGTCTTCACTTTTAATTGCCATCCTTTCTTTTCTTGTGCATAATGTGAAACCAGATACCTGCCTGTGGAATCTTGTAGGCATTTAAGGTGTTGGCCATCTGGATGGTGTTCTGGGAAGGGAGATCACCAATGACGGCCATGATGTTTTGGTCCTTTCCCTTCCTGTAATTGAGTTGACAGAGGCCTTCCACAAAGAGGAGAGTGAAAAGGTTCTCAGAGGCTTTCATTGCCTGAAAACCATTCTCGTATATCTTGGAGACCAAGGTGATGTTGGGTAACAAATTCTCATTCCTGTTGATCTCCTGAATGGCAAAACTGAAGGCTAGGACATGCTGTACGTTTTTAGGCAATGGCCTGCAAGAAGAGTTTCATTTAGTTCTATAATCTTCGAATGTGACAATAACTGGATTTAGATACATCTAAAATGATGTATCTGGGCTGAAGTGCAGTGCTTGAATCTCATTGGAGGATCATGTGGGAACTGTGATCATATTTTGAGAATTTTAATGCAATTACAAGCATTGTTTTGTGTATGTAGGGCAGCAATGCAATAGAAGGACAGAAACTGATGGATTTTGCCAACTGTTAACAACAATTCACATTTTATCACATTCATATATTTAAATATGCTCCGTCTTTCTACTAAGGAGACTTACTGCATAAGAAGTAGAAAACTCAAGCTATCACAATCTTTATAAAATAAAAGTCTTGGTATGTAGAAGTGTTTGCTAATCAGGAAAAAGTGACAAATTCCTAACAGTGGCATTATGTAGTATGAGAATCATAGATATGTATTTAAACCTTTAATAAAATATTCATGCTAAATAGTTTTGATATGGTTTTGCTTTCATTTTGAATGTTAAATAAAAAAAATAGGGGAACAGTGTCATTAAAATCAAATCTTCTCATGAACAGGTTAATTGATGTATAACAACAGCAACATGAAAAACCATGTCTACAAGGCAACATTTAACAGCTACTGTATATTTCAGCACCTGAAATATCATTAACCAAGACAGATATATAAATAAAAAATATACCTAAACCAGTTTTAATTCTCATCTAAAATGGAAAAAAATTAATCAGAATGTCCTGAATACAATCAATTAAAAAAAAAAAAACCTTGAAAGGCATATCACAGTTTCTTTCAAAGGAGTACTTGCCATCCTTCCAAAGATCCTGCTGGATGTTCCATAAAGTGGAGCAAAGACCATTTGGGATATAAAGTCGACACAAATTCTCCAATGACGATATCACTGGAGAGGGCAGGGAGATTAAGCTGCAAATGTCGTTTGTTATGACACATGGAGTTAAAGGTCTTGTTGAAAGAAGCCTGGAGGAGAAGGAGAGAGAGCAGAAACCCATGAGAAAGTGTGTGAGTCTCTTTGAATGCCAAAGCAATTTGGCTCCAATCAGAGCAGTGCAACCACATCTTCATCACAACACTTCGACTGGAACAATGAAAGAACCTCTACTGGTTTTATGCACAACTAAAGTTGTAGATTACAATCATTATCATCTGAGTGATTCATAAGGCCACTTACTCATGAAGCTGTTGCTCATGGTAAACTTAAACTGCTAAGTCTCCCTAGGTTCTGTGCTTGCCCAAAAAAAACCCAAATTTAATTGATTAATTCTGATAATCATTAGGTAGGGAATTCTCTTTCCCAAAGCTATTATCAAGTATTTTTCCAGTTGAAGAAATTATATGACCGAAACCCATTTCTTGGCAGCTCCTCATCAGGGAAGAAAGAAATGATCTTGGGATCATAACAGATTTTGGGAACCGAGTCTGGCTTTCTCAACCGAAGGAAAGCAATGCTGATTAAAAGAACAAGAGATGGATTAGTAGACAAATAAATTCTCCCTTCTCACCTCACAATCTCCTAATTCAGTTAAATGCATATCTCTTCTTTGCTCACTTTGCTGACATGTTTTAAGAATGCTGTCATTGTACCAGTGCCTCCCCAAAAAACTATAATCACATGCCTTAATGATTACCGTCCAGTTGCACTCACTTCTATTATGATGAAATGTTTTGAGAGATTGGTAAAGGACTATATGGTTTCATGCCTTCCCCCTACATTTGACTCATTCTAGCTTGCCTTCCCACCAACCATCTCCTTCACTTATGACTGTATGACTGCAACTCTGTTGCTTGTATCTTTATGATTTATATTTATTTTTTTCCTGATTGCTTATTTGTACCCTATGACTATCATTAAGTGTTGTATCTTATGATTCTTGATGAACGTATCTTTCCTTTTATGTACACTTTATTTATTTTATTTTATTTAATTTATATACCGCCCTTCTCCCGAATGACTCAGGGCGGTGAACAGCCATAATAAAAACAATGTAAAAATAGAATTTAAGAGCAGATTAAAATAATTAAATCATGGGCCGAATTTCAAACTCTCATTTTAAAACCAATTTTAAAACCCCATTAAGACCAAATTAAAATCATTTATCCCATCAGAGCGGCTTGTTGGAATAACAGGGTCTTCACTGCACGACGGAAGGCGTGGAGGTTGGGGATCCTTCGTATGTCTGGGGGTTCCAGAGGGCAGGGGCCCCCACAGAGAAGGCACTCCCCCTGGGGGTCACCAGTCTACATTGTTTGGCTGACGGCACCCTGAGGAGGCCCTCTTTGTGTGAGCGTACCGGTCGGTGGGAGGCAATCGGTGGCAGAATGCGATCTTGTAGATAGCCAGGTCCTAAACCATGGAGCGCTTTAAATGTGGTAACCAACACCTTGAAGCACACCCGAAACACCATCAGGAGCCAGTGCAGCTCACGCATGAGGGGTGTTACATGGGAACAACGGGTTGCCCCCATTATTATTCGTGCAGCCGCATTCTGACCAGTTGGAGCCTCCGGGTGCCCCTCAGGGGAGCCCCATGTAGAGAGTGTTACAATAGTCCAGATGGGAAGTGACGAGGGCATGAGTGACTATGCACAAGGCATCCTGATCCAGAAAGGGGCGCAACTGGGAAATCAGGCGAACCTGATAAAAAGCCCCCCTGGCCACGGCCGTCATATGATCATCCAAAACCAGCCATGAGTCCAGGAGGATGCCCAAGTTGCGAGCCCTCTCTGAGGGGGGTAAGATTTCCTCACCAATAGTCAGTGATGGTGTAAGCTGGCTATATCGGGACGCCAGGAACCACAGCCACTCAGTCTTGGAGGGGTTGAGTCTGAGCCTGTTCCTCCCCATCCAGATCCGCACGGCCTCCAGGCAATGGGACATCATGTCAAGGGCATCATTGGGGTGGCCTGGGGTTGAAATGTACAACTGCGTGTCATCAGCATACAGTTGACACTTCATCCCAAAGCACGGATGATCTCGCCCAGCGGCTTCACATAAATGTTGAACAGGAGGGGCGAGAGAACCGATCCCTGCAGCACCCCACAAGTGAGGAACCTCGAGGTCGACCTCTGCCCTCCCGTCAACACAGACTGCGTACGGTCAGAGAGGAAGGAGGAGAACCACCGTAAAACGGTGCCCCCCACTCCCAACCCCTCTAGCTGACGCAGCATGATACCATGATCAATGGTATCAAAAGCCACTGAGAGGTCTAGGAGGACCAGAACAGAGGAGCAAGCCCTGTCCCGAGCCCTCCAGAGATCATCAACCAATGCTATCAATGCCGTTTCCATGCTGTAACCCGCCCTGAAGCCCGACTGGCATGGATCTAGATAGACAGCTTCATCCAGGAATCGAGGAAGTTGCCTCACTACCACACTCTCGACAACCTTCGCCGTGAAGCGAAGGTTGGAGACAGGACGATAATTAGCTAAAACAGCTGGGTCCAGGGAAGGCTTCTTGAGGAGGGGCCTCAGCACTGCCTCTTTCAGGGCGGCTAGGAAGACACCCTCACCCAGCAAAGCATTGGTAATCTCCTGAAACCAGCCTCGTGTAACCTCCCGGGAGGCCAGTGGGACACGGGTCCAGTAAATATGTGGTAGCATTAAGCCTCCCGAAAATCCTGTCCATGTCCTCAGGAGTCACAGGTTCAAACTCCTCCCAGATAACAATCTCAAGACTTGCCTCCGTCATCCCGTCTGAAACTATCCAATCAGAGTCCACAAAGAGGGACTCACAGCCAGCTATCTGAGGAACAGTGGCCTCCCTTGGACTAAGACTTTCTTTAATAATCACTGCTACTCCTCCGCCCCTCCCCTGGGCCCTCGGCTGATGAAATGCATGGAAGCCTGGTGGGCACATCTCCATGAGGGGAACACCCTCCCCTCGTGGCCCAGCCAGGTCTCTGTGATCCCAGCCAGGTCCGCACCCCCCTCTTGAACTGAATCATGAATGCGGGGGGCTTTATTAGTCATAGACCTGGCATTGCACAACAACAACCGAAGGCCCGGGCCCTGAGACACTGAGATCCTATGCACCAAAGACAAATTTCTTGTATGTCCAATCACACTTGGCAATAAAATTTCTATTCTATTCTATTCTATTCTATTCTATTCTATTCTATTCTATTCTATTCTATTCTATTCTATTCTATTCTATTCTATTCTATTCTATTCTATTCTATTCTATTCGAAAAACCACTCTATAGACGAAGCACTTTTGGGTGTGCTTCATGTTAGCTTGGTGCACCTGGAGGAGAAGAACACTCGTGCGAATGCTGTTTGTTGATTTTGGTTCGGCACTCAACACAATCATTCCTCAGCATTTGCTGAACAAACTGGGCCTATTAGGTTTTAATACTCCTTTATCTAACTAGATACTTGATTTCCTTATTGATAGCCCCCAGTTTGTGCGAGTTGGAAGAGAAGTTGCCAACTCCATCTGCAGAGTACAGATTCCCCCCAGGGCTGTGTCTTGAGTCCATTACTGTTCACCTTGATGACTCACGACTGCTGTGCCATATCTAATACGAATCATATTGTGAAGTCTGCGGATGGCACGGCAGTGTTGAGTCTTATCCAGGAGAACAATGAAGATGCTTATAGGGAAGAGGTGAAGATTCTGGTGGTTTGGTGCAATAAAAGAAACCTGGTTCTAAATGTTAATAAAACAAAGGAGATCATTGCAGATTTTAGGAAGCATATCATACTCCACTCAGAATCAATGATGCAGCTTTAGAGGTAATCAACTGGGTTAAGTATCTGTGGGTGCAGACAACTAAGAATGTGAATTAGTCTCTCCACACATCATTCTTAGTGTAGCATGCAAATCAGTGTCTGTATTTCCTGTGTCGGATGAGGAGAGCACATTTTTCTCCTTCCGTCCTGGCCATTTTTTACAAAGGCACGATTGAGATCGTTTTAACAAACTGCATCACTCTTCGATTTGGTGGATAGCAGCGCCTCAGATAGAAAGTCCATACAGAGAGTGGTAAGGACAAACAAAAAGTTTAGGAAACTCGCTTCCCATTATTCAGGATGCTCCTTATAAGCTCTATGTGCTTAGAGCTCAAAGCGTTGTTAAAGACCCCCCCCCACACACACTTCATGATCTGTTTCTGTTGCTCCCCTCCGGAAGGAGTTTTTGAAGTATTTTTACCAGGACTACCTGATTCTGTAACAGCTTTGTTCCCTATGCCATCCGTCTGGTAACCATGCAAGATTCATTTTTCTCGCCAAGTACATTTATGCATCCAAACGAAACTGTGTTGTTTCTCTGTGTCATATAATACATGGGGTATGTGGGTATTTATTTATTTATTTGTCATGTTTATGAAGTGTATATTGGAGGTGATGACCATTTGAGTGCTGTATGCAATGAAATTTCACTTTAATATATGCCGATTAGTGTAATTTAAAGTGACAATCAAAATATTCTACGCTAAATCTAAATATAAATGAGATAAAATCTTACTTAATAAACACAATCAGTTCTGGAAAGCACAAATATTTTATTTCTGAATGTACTTTCCAGTTTATTTGTCAAAGACAAAGAAATCTTCATCTAGAAAAAGTTGTGCACATTTTTTCACCTTGATATTGTGTATATGTGAAGTTTCTTACATTAAGAGCCCTGGTGGCATAGTAAAAGCAAATTTGCCTGCAAACTCTGCCCAGAGCCTAGACTTTGATCCTGAAGGTGCTCAAGATTGACTCAGTCTTTCATCCATCTGAGGATGGAAGAATAGACCCAGATTGTTGGGCACAGTATGCAAACAATGCTTACATTGTAAACCACCCAGAGAATGTTATAAAGCACTATGGGGCAATAAATGTGATTGCTATTAAAAAACTGAAGAAGACAATTATTTCTGAATAAAATTCAGAATGCAGAACATTTTCATCCAAATCATATAAATTCAGGTATCATTCATGCTGCCCTTGATATCACATCTGTCTTTTTCCTAACTAGCTGCTCCCTGGTATTCAGCTCTGGTCTCAGTATGATGATGTAGCACTTGGGCAGGAAAATGCAGCCTAATAAGCCACCACTTGAAGCCAAGATAGAAAAGACTTCCACAGCCACCATGGATTTCCCCTTGGTGCTCAAGTAGGTGGGCACAAAAGACACCCAAACACTGCAGAAGACCAGCATGCTGAAGGTGATGAGCTTGGCTTCATTGAAAGTGTCGGGCAACTTCCGGGCAAAGAAGGCCACCGTGAAGCTGATGAGGGCCAGAAGCCACATGTAGCCCAGCACAACATAAAACATGATCTCCGAACCTTCGTTGCATTGCACTAAGATCTCATCCACCTGGGAATGCACGTCCAAGTCTGGGAAAGGAGGAGAAATGGTCAACCACACAGCACAGATGCTTGTTTGAATAAGGGAGCACAAAACAATGACTGAGACGGACAGCCTTTTCCCCACCCACAACCTCATGCGGTTCCCTGGCTTTGTGGCCATGAAGGCCAGAACCACCGTGATGGTTTTGGCTAACACACAAGACACCACAATGGAGAAGACAACTCCAAAAACTGCTTGCCGGAGGAGACATGTGACTGTCCCTGGACATCCGAGGAAGAGGAAGGAGCAAAGAAAACACAGCAGGAGCGAGACGAGCAGGGTGCAGGTGATATCCCAATTGTTGGCTTTGACGATGGGAGTGTTCTGGTGGAAGATGAATGTCCCCATCACCACAACTGTGATGACAGCAAAAGAAACAGCAAAGCCAGTCAGGACTTCTCCCAGGACTTCTTTGTAGGATAAGTAGGTGATAATTTTGGGAATACATTGATGGTGCTTCTCATTTGGATATTGTTTTTCCGGACACCTCTCACATTGCTTGGAATCTATAAACCATAAATAAAATCTCTAAAAATTCTCCACATTGAATCAAATTACGTTTTTAGCAATTATTCCTTCCTGAAGCTCTTTTTGGAGAGAATGAACTTCTTTTAAAAATCGTGCTTTAAAAAAAGCCTTTTAAACTTTATTTTTTTATTCAATAGACCACATTTCCTGAATGAGAGATTACACAGTTAAATAAATAAATGTTTTTACTTAAAAAAAGAAGAAAGAGAACAAGGCTAGTGAGAGATCCCAATCAATCTATGTTTTTCTTTAAAACGAAATTCAAGAACCCAACTTGGTTAGAGCATACTGTATTTTTAAGGAAATATCCATATTGTTTTCTTACCAATCATGGTGGAAATGCTTCCCTCTGAACACTCGACACAGTCATAGCAGCAAACCTGTTTTCCCTCCTTAATCAATTTCCGGTACCCAGGATGGCAGCTTTCTACACAGGTGGCAGAAGGTGGTGTCTAATGGGAATGGCCAGAGTAAGGAATTAAATGGTTTATAATCTTTGAATCAATCAGTCATTCTCTTTAAAGAAATCCAGAAAACCCAGGTTCTTGTAATTTCTAATAATGTTATTGTTTTCCAAGTATCCTTGTTGTGTTACGTTGCCACTCAAGAGTGGTATCCTCATTTTCCATGTACAGGATGAAGCAAAACAAGCAAATTGCCCAGCTTCAGTGACCTCCCTTTTTCTGAACATACTCAGCTATCAAAAAACCATCTGACAATTAGGAGAATGATCCAAGTGTGGTGAACCCAGGACTGGTATATGTCCATCTGTAGTATTCTGTGATGAACAATAAAATGGGATAGCAAAATAGCCGAATCTTGCCTGTATTTTAAAATACACAAGCCTGCAGAAAAAGTATTCTGGGAAAAGGAAGAGAAAAAAACCCACTGAATCTCTAAATGGCCAGCAGTTGTCTCTGGATTTTTAAATTGGCTATAGGAAGCAAAATGTGATAGTGGCAAAAAAAAATATTTCCTGCAAAACTCCAGGGAAATGGGATGTTTATATTAGCCTGAATTGGAAAATAGATATGATGACCTTTTTCATGCTTTGTGTCTCACCTGATTCAAACATTGACTAAAAGGTCAGATAAACTCATTAGTGGGAAAGTCAGCCAGCCAGCCTGTCAGCATCAGCTTTCCTGCTTTAGCTGCCATAAGAAACGGGGAGGGATTAGGTATGGAGCAAAGGGGGGGAAGAGAGCAGGAGGGGGTTTGTCTTTGTAGGAGGGGACTTCGTGGGAATCGAAACTAGATTTCAGAAGGGGATGGCCGACCAACTGTCTCGACATTCCTGATGGATGACGCTGCCAGACGTGTTGCCACCTGACCTTTGGAAGACCTTTAGATTGGCTGAGAAACTATAAACACGAGGGGGGGAAGAAGCTTAGTAGATGCATTTCGCGCGTTTTGATCACTTCCAGCTTTCACTGGGATGTTAATCTTTTCATATTCAGTAAAAGTACCAGATTCTTCAAAATGCTTGAGTTTGGGGTTTTCTTTCCTGGATACTGAAGGAAGCATACCTGACATTAAGCTGGAAGTGATCAAATCCTTTCGAGGTGTGGACTGACCATAAGAATCTAGAAGCATTAAAAACACCACGCAAATTGTCACCCAAACAGGCACGCTGGGCCCAACATTTCAAGCGTTTCAATTTCACTTTACGTTACCTGCCTGGGGGAAAAAATTTCATGGCAGACGCACTTTCCAGATTGCCACAGTACAACAGCATAAAGAAGGAACTGGTTCAACCAATGATCCCCTTAACGCAATTGGCAACACAGGTCACTACCAGAGCACAGAGTAAAACCGATCCAGAACTCTCAGGGGATTTACTCGAAAAGTTACGAGAAGCACTAAAAGCTGACGAGTGGTTTAAAATCCACTCGAATGAATGCACACTCCATGATGGACTAGCTTGGGTTGGATCGAAATTGTATGTTCCGACCACATTAAGACCAACTGTATTGAAATATGCGCATGATGCCAAAGCCGCAGGACACTTTGCGTTTGTCAAAACTTTACATCTTGTTAAGAGACAGTTTTGGTGGCCTGCACTAAAAAAGGACATACAGACATATGTAGCTAGCTGTCCAGTATGTGCCTCGGCTAAAAGACCTCCAGGAAAATCCCCTGGATTACTGCAAAGTGTGGCTAGACCGAACGCCCCATGGAAGGAAATATCTATGGATTTTGTGGTGGACTTACCCGACAGTGAGGGCTGCACTGTCATTTGGGTAGTAACTGATTTGTTTTCTAAACAAGTACATTTCATACCTTGCTCAAAGATCCCTTCAGCAAAAACCCTCGCAAAGTTATTTATTCGGCAGATTTACCGACTACATGGGTCTCCGAAAAGAATAATTTCTGATAGGGGTGTGCAATTTACTTCCAGTTTCTGGAGAGAATTTTTAAGATTGATAGGCTCCGCACAGGGGTTGAGTTCCAGTCACCACCCTCAGACAAATGGTGCTTGTGAAAGAACCAATGGGGTGCTCGAACAATACCTTAGATGTTATGTGAATTACCAACAGGACAATTGGATAGACTTGTTGCCATTTGCAGAAGTGGCGTATAACAATTCTGTGCATAGTAGCACCGGATTCACCCCTTTTAAGGTTGCATCGGGCCAAGATTTTGTACCCATTCCCGAGTTACCTCAAGATGATCCCCAAAATCCCTCTTTGATAGATTGGATAGAACAATTAAGGAGCACCTGGACAGTGACTCGGAAAGCATTAGATGAGGCACACCGAGCTTATAAGGCACAAGCCGATAAGAAAAGGTCCCCAGCTCACATTTACAAAGTGGGGGATAAAGTCTATTTGTCTACCAAATACTTACAAACCACCCAGAGGTCTAAAAAGCTGGGGCCTAAGTATGTAGGACCATTCCGTGTGATCAGACTGATAAATCCAGTGACAGTTGAATTAGAATTACCAAAAACCTTGAGACGGATACATCCTGTATTTCATGTTAGTTTATTGAAACCTGAACACTCATCTCCCCTAAGGGTTGATCATAGCAACCCTCCAATTCCCATCCTCGTAGAAGGGGAGCAACATTTTGAGGTCAAGGAAATCCTGGACTCTAGAAAACACCATGGTAAAGTCCAATATCTGATTGCCTGGAAACATTTTCCACTATCTCAGGCTGAATGGGTAAATAAACGGGATGTCCGAGCTCCCAAGAAAGTACAACAGTTCTATGTCAAATACCCTGATAAACCTTGATCATTGTATATATTCTGTTTCTCTTTCTCTTTCTTCCTTTTATTTAGGACTAACGTCTCTTCCGCAAGAGGGGCCGAATGTCAGCATCAGCTTTATTGCTTTAGCTGCCATAAGAAACGGGGAGGGATTAGGTATGGAGCAAAGGGGGGGAAGAGAGCAGGAGGGGGTTTGTCTTTGTAGGAGGGGACTTCGTGGGAATCGAAACTAGATTTCAGAAGGGGATGGCCGACCAACTGTCTCGACATTCCTGATGGATGATGCTGCCAGACGTGTTGCCACCTGACCTTTGGAAGACCTTTAGATTGGCTGAGAAACTATAAACACGAGGGGGGGAAGAAGCTTAGTAGATGCATTTCGCGCGTTTTGATCACTTCCAGCTTTCACTGGGATGTTAATCTTTTCATATTCAGTAAAAGTACCAGATTCTTCAAAATGCTTGAGTTTGGGGTTTTCTTTCCTGGATACTGAAGGAAGCATACCTGACACAGCCTTCCAATCTATCATATTATCTATCTATCTATCTATCTATCTATCTATCTATCTATCTATCTATCATCCATCCATCCATCTATCTATCTTCCATCATCTTTCTCTCTCTCTCTCGCTCTTTCTCTCATCTATCTATCCATCCATCTATCATACATCCTCTATCTATCTATCTATCTATCTATCTATCTATCTATCTATCTATGCACCTATCATTCATCTATTTATCTATCTATCTATCTATCTATCTATCTATCATCTATCTTTTATCTTATATCTATCTGTCTATCTACCTTCATCTCTCTATCTCTCTATCTCTCTATCTATCTCTCTATCTATCTATCTATCTATCAATCATCCATCCATCCATCCATCCATCTATCTATCTTCCATCATCTTTCTCTCTCTCTCTCGCTCTTTCTCTCATCTATCTATCCATCCATCTATCATACATCCTCTATCTACCTATCTATCTATCTATCTATCTATCTATCTATCTATCTATCCACCTATCATCTATCTATCTATCTATCTATCTATCTATCTATCATCTATCTTTTATCTTATATCTATTTGTCTATCTACCTTCATCTATCTATCTATCTATCTATCTATCTATCTATCTATCTATCATCCATCCATCCATCTATCTATCATCCATCCATCCATCTATCTTCCATCATCTTTCTCTCTCTCTCTCACTCTTTCTCTCTCATCTATCCATCCATCTATCATACATCCTCTATCTATCTATCTATCTATCTATCTATCTATCTATCTATCATCCATCCATCCATCCATCCATCCATCTATCTTCCATCATCTTTCTCTCTCTCACTCATTCTTTCTCTCTCTTCTATCCATCCATCTATCATACATCCTCTATCTATCTATCTATCTATCTATCTATCTATCTATCTATCTATCTATCTATCTATCTCTAGCTTTCTATCTATCTATCTATCTATCATTCATTATCTATCTATCTATCTATCTATCTATCTATCTATCTATCTATCTATCTTTCTCTCTCACTCTTTCTCTCTCATCTATCTATCCATCCATCATACATCATCTATCTATCTATCTATCTATCTATCTATCTATCTATCTATCCATCTATCATTCATTATCTATCTATCTATCTATCTATATCTGTCTGTCTGTCTGTCTGTCTGTCTGTCTGTCTGTCTATATATCATCCATCCATCCATCTTCCATCATCTTTCTCTCTCTCTCACTCTTTCTCTCTCATCTATCCATCCATCTATCATACATCTTCTATCTATCTATCTATCTATCTATCTATCTATCTATCTATCTATCTATCTTTTATCTTATACCTGTCTATCTACCTATTATCCATCTATCTATCTATCTATCTATCTATCTATCTATCTATCTATCATCTATCTATCTATCATCTATCATCTATCTATCTTTTATCTTATATCTATCTGTCTATCTACCTATCATCTATCTATCTATCTATCTATCTATCTATCTATCTATCTATCATTTATCTATCTATCTATCTATCTATCTATCTATCTATCTTCCATCATCTTTCTCTCTCTCTCACTCTCTCTCACTCTCTCTCATCTCACGACTTGGCTGAAGATCTAGTGGCGTCCTGGGATAGGATGGCCACTGGTGCTTTAGACCAGGTCGTGCCTTTGCGGCCTCTGACCTGGCGTCGAACCTACCCAGCTCCTTGGTTCTCTGATGAGCTGAGGGGGATGAAACGCCGGAAAAGATGCCTAGAGAGCAGTTGGAGGACCAGCTATTCTGAATCCAACCGAACACTAGTGAGATCTTATATTAAGACCTACTTAGTGGTGATAAAAGCAGCAAAATGTAACTATTTTTCCGCTCTTATTGCATTGGCAGATAATCGCCCAGCCACCTTGTTTAGGGTTACCCGCTCTCTACTCCAGCTGAGAGCCCGGGAAGACCCTCTGCAAGGACGAGCTGAGGATTTTGCACAATATCTGCACGATAAAATTGCTCAGATTCAGGAAGGCTTGGACTCTAACTGGGTTAATTCGGATGAAATGATGAGGGCAGATCTTGAGGACATTATCTGGGATGAGTTTGATACTGTGACTCCTGAGGACATGGACAGGTTACTGGGGAAGCTGAATGTGACCACATGTTTATTGGACCCATGCCTTTCCTTGCTACTCTGGCTACCCAGGAGGTTACACATAGCTGGCTCCAGAGAATTATTAACGCTTCTCTGAGTGAGGGATTCTTACCTCCCGCCTTGAAAGAGGTGGTGGTGAGACCGCCTCCTTAAGATGCCCCTCCTTAAGAAGAAGAATGGTTGTTTTAGCAAACTACTGTCCAGTCTCCAACCTTCGCTTTTTAGCGAAGATTGTCGAAAGTGTGGTGGCACGACAGCTCCCACAGTACCTGGATGAAGCTGTCTATCTAGACTCGTTCCAGTCCAGCTTCAGGCCTGGATACAGCACAGAAACAGCATTGGTCGCGTTGGTTGATGATCTCTGGAGGGCTCGGGATAAGGGATGTTCCTCTATCCTGGTCCTATTAGATCTCTCAGCGGCTTTTGATACCATTGATCATGGTATCATGCTGCACCGGTTGGAGGGGCTGGGAATGGGAGGCACCTTTTTACGGTGTTTCTTGTCCTACCTCTCTGACAGGTTGCAGTCAGTGTTGACAGGTGGACAGAAATCGACCTTGAGGCCCCTTAATTGCAGGGTGTCACAGGGGTCGGTCCTCTCACCTCTCCTGTTCAACATTTATGTGAAGCCATTGGGGGAGATCATCCATGGTTTTGGGGTGCAATGTCATCTGTACACTGATGACACTCAGCTGTACATCTCCACCACAAACCACCCCAATGATGCCCTTGAAGTGATGTCCCGGTGCCTTGAGGCTGTACGGGTCTGGATGGGGAGAAACAGGCTTCGACTCAACCCTTCCAAGACTGAGTGGCTGTGGCTGCCGGCGTCCTGGTACAGCCAGTTAGTCCCATCACTATTGGGGATGAGTCATTGACCTCCACAGAAAAAGCTCGCAATTTAGGCATCCTCCTGGATGCACGACTGTCTTTAGAAGATCATATAACAGCCATGGCCAGAGGAGCTTTCTATCAGGTTTGCTGATTCGCCAATTGCGTCCCTTTCTAGACTGGGACTCATTACGCACAGTCGCTCAAGCCCTTGTCATTTTCCAACTTGACTACTGCAATGCTCTCTACATGGGGCTCCCCTTGAAGTGCACCCGGAAGCTCCAACTGGTCCAGAATGCGGCCGCGTGAGTAATTATGGGAGCAACATGGCGCTCACATGTAACACCTCTTCTACGCGAGCTGCACTGGCTTCCGGTGGCCTTCCAAGTGCGCTTCAAGGTGTTGGTTCTTACCTTTAAAGTGCTCCATGGCTTAGGACCTGAGTACTTAAGAGACCACCTGCTGCAACCAATAACCTCCCACCAACCAATACGCTCTCACACAGTCGGCCTACTCATAGTACCATCATTAAAACAATGTCGTCTAGTAGTTCCAAGGGAGAGAGCCTTCTTTGTGGGGGCACCTACTCTTTGGAACAAAATACCCCCTGGAATACGAATAATCCCAGATCTTCGCACTTTCCAACATGTCCTGAAGACCTTTCTGTTTCAACAAGCAGGGCCAGCATAAACATCTAAATTCTATGCCAAGGTCTTAGCAGATACACTAAGTTGACTCAATTTATCTATCTATCTATCTATCTATCTATCATCTATCTTTCATCTATCTATATCTATCTATCTATCATCATCATCTATCTATCATCTATCAATCTATCTATCTATCTATCTATCTATCTATATCTATCTATCTATCTATCTATCTATCTATCTATCTAATCCATCCATCTATCTATCTATCCATCTATCCATCCATCCATCCATCCATCCATCCATCCATCATCCATCACCCATCCATCAGCTATCTATCTATCTATCTATCTATCTATCTATCTATCTATCTATCTATCATCTATATCTATCTATCCTATCCTATCTCTCTATCTTTCCATCCATCCATCTATCATTCATTATCTGTCTGTCTGTCTGTCTGTCTGTCTATATCTATCTATCTATCTATCTATCTATCTATCTATCTATCTATCTATCTATCCATCCATCCATCCATCCATCCATCCATCCATCCATCGTCCATCTATCATCCATTCTCTCTCTCTCTATCTTCCATCATATATCTCGGTCTCCCATCTATCTATCTATCTATCTATCTATCTATCTATCTATCTATCTATCCATCCATCCATCCATCCATCATCCATCGTCTGTCTATCTATCTATCTATCTATCTATCTATCCATCATCCATCGTCTGTCTGTCTGTCTGTCTATCTATCTATCTATCTATCTATCTATCTATCCATCATCCATCGTCTGTCTGTCTGTCTATCTATCTATCTATCTATCTATCTATCTATCTATCTATCTATCATCTCATCTATCTCATCTATCATCTATCAATCTCTATATAAAATCTTTCCTTTTCTTGTTTGTATTATTGTAACTGTAATTTTAAATATTTTTAAAAAGAAGAAAGGTAAATCTTTCCTTCAGTGTTACCTTTCAAAAGATGAATCTTCCACCTCTCTAAGCTCTTAAGGAGCCACTGAACCCAGAGTTTCCATAACCCCAGTGAGCTCTTTCCCTACAATATGAAAGTGCAATGTAGAATTGAGAACTACTTCATTTTTCCAGGATGCAAAAGTGTTCTAACATCATTAAGAAAATAACAAATCACACTGAAACCACTCTAAGACTACTGGTTTAAAATCCCAGAAATATTTTCAATATTGCCATGTGTTGGTTGATTTGTTTAACTCACCTGCTTAAATTTGGGATTCCATACAATGGTAGTTGCATTTATGGTGAGATCTTCCTTTTGAGAACTCTGAAGTTCAATACGTCCAATTTGGACCTTCTGAAAGGATCGATTGGGGAAAGTAATCAAGTTGATGATATCGTATGCTGCTGCCAGGTTTCCATTCTCATTGAAAACTATTTCTTCCCCAGCACTATTGTTGAAATGGAGGTTTTTCAGAAATAAATGAAGCTGAAAGATAAGTGAGAAATTTATGCCAATAGCAGGTAATAGAAAGTACAGTTCCATGCTGGGATTTACCAAATGGTGCTCAACTAATTTTTAATGAACATCCAAAGCTTTGAGTTAATAGTATTTTTTTTTATGTTCCAAAGGCATAATTCTGTTTTGCAGGACTATATTTTATGTTTAAGTATTATTCTTTCAATGTTCCTTTATGGATAGATTCAAAGAAACATATTCTTCCAACATTTACTGGGTATCCTGGCCATTCCGACACTGCTTATCTCCAGTGGCTACTTAAAGATGAACAGTCCATAACTTCTGTGAATGCTTAGATCAGACATACCTTAGAGAATGACAGTATTGTCATTCTATTCTACCCCTTCCAATTTCATCGATTATTATTATTATTTTGCAAAATTCTTCCTTCTCTCTACTTTAGTGAATTTTTCTTCTTCTACTCAACTACAAAATGCTGCAAAAATGGTAGCCTTTTACTGGATTTGAGAGTTTTTTTGGAGTGAAGATTGGAAAGGAAGAAGAAGGCCTCTGGGAAAAAATTACTTCCATATATCTAAGACAGTGTTTCCCAAAGTGTGGTATGCGTACCCCCAGGGGTACGGGAAGAGTTTGGTGGGGGTACGCGTTGCACCGGAGTTTGGTGGGGATCACGTGGGAATATCCACTGCACCGTGCTTAGCTGCGCCCACAGAACAAGGAAAGAAATAGGCGCGTATCGCAGTTTTACACAGGAACTGGGGCCATCGTACATCGTATCGCAACTCATTATGGCGGGAACTTCTGCGCATTCTTCGCGCAGCTCGGGTTCGGCCATTTTTAAACTGCGGGAACATTAACAGTTGATGTTGAGCCGCGGAGCTGTTTAAACGCCGGAGAATTGCAGTGTTATCTAACTGTTAGACAGTCTTGTGAGGTGTGACACGGCATGAATATATTGCACTTCGTTACAGAGACAACTTACTTCTTTAATATTTAGTTCCGGGTGCCTGTTATCATGCTTTAGTAAGTTCCACTGATTTTGATTATTTTTATAAAATACAATTTTTATCCCTAACAGAGATTATGGATCGCTGGTTGGAATCTGGAACTACTAAACCGAAAGAAAGTAATGATTGTAGTAGCAATCAACGAACAGGAAATAATGAAATTAACGACGAATCAATTTCAATTCTGAAAGAACCTGTTAAGAAAAAAGCAAGGAAAACTCGCAAGTACGACAAAGAATATCTTAAGTTTGGATTCTCATGGACTGGAGATGAAAATGAGCCTATTCCAATTTGTGTCATTTGTTTTGAAAATCTAACAAATGAAAGCATGAAACCATCCAACTTAAAGCGCCATTTTGAGACAAACCATAATCAGTACAAAGATAAACCCATAGATTTTTTTGAAAATAAACTTAAGGGTTTAAATCAGTCTCGAAAAGTAATGCGGGGTTTGACAGGAGGTGACAATCAAAAAATACTAGAAGCTTTGTATCGCGTGTCGCTTTTAATTGCCAAATGTAGTGCAGCAGAAACCATTGGCGAAATTTTAATCAAGCCTGCAGCCAAGATAATGGCAGAAGTAATGATAGGAGATAGAGCGAAACAAACTTTTGACCGCGTTCCTCTCTCAAATAATACAGTTCATCGACGAATCATTGATATGTTTAATAATGTAAAACAGATGTTATTATCTGGTATTTCTCAAAGTCGTTATTATGCTTTGCAAGTCGATGAGTCCACCGACATTGCGAATTTTGCAAATCTTATGGCGTTTGTTAGATACGAAAAAAATCAAGAAATTCATGATGACTTTTTATTTTGCCAGCCTTTATTAGGTCACACAACAGGAGAAGATATCTTTAATGTTATGAATACATTTATGCAAGAGAACAAAATTGATTGGAATAGATGTGTTGGAATAAGCACAGGTGGAGCAAAAAGTATGATTGGAATTAATAAAGGACTCGTTGCAAGAATTCAAAATGTTGCTCCAAATGTCATATCCACACATTGTTGCATACACAGAGAGGCTTTGGCAACACGTAAGATGCCCGCTGATCTACAGAAAGTTTTGGATGAAAGCGTGAAAATCATTAACTACATTAAAAGCCGTCCTTTGAATGCACGACTTTTTTCGCAAATATGTGAAGAAATGGGAAGTAGTCATACCCAGCTGCTTTTTCATACAGATGTTCGTTGGCTATCTCGGGGAAAAATTCTAAACCGATTGTTCGAACTTAGACATGAACTTCAATGCTTTCTTAATGATAGATTTGAGTTGAGAAATTGTTTACATGACTGGAAATGGCTTTGTAAACTAGCATACTTAGCAGATATATTCTCTGTTTTAAATTGCCTCAACTTATCATTACAAGGCAAAGAAATTTCATTGTTTCACGTTCAAGATAAAGTGAACGTTACCATCGCAAAACTAAATTTATGGCAAAAGAGAGTTGGTAATGGAGAAGTAGACTCGTTTCCCTCTCTTCATGAGTTTATAACAAGTTCAGCTACTAAAATTGAGGCTGATACTCTGAAATGCATAATACAGCATTTGGAGAGTTTGCAAGTTGGCTTCAAAAACTATTTCCCTGATTTAAACAAAAATATTGAATGGATAAGATATCCGTTCAACATTAACACAACATCCATGCCAGAAGGTTTGTCGCATGCGGAAGAAGAGCAATTGTTGGAGTTAGCTTCGGACGGATTCTTGAGAAATAAACATAAGGAGTGTACTTTAACATTATTCTGGTTACAAATGCAACATGTGTATCCGGTTTTAACAGAAAAAGTCCTGAAATACATCTTGCCTTTTCCAACTTCATATTTATGCGAAGTTGCTTTTTCTGCATTTGTAGACATTAAGTCGAAAAAAAGGAACAGACTATTGGACGTGGAACCGCATCTCAGATTAAAATTAACAACCAGGGAACCAAATTATGATGATCTGTCATCTCAACATAAACAATTTCATCCTTCTCATTGAATCAAAAAAATGTTCTTTATAATATAACTTTCGTTTATTTTGTGTAGAAAAAATAAATATATTTTGATTTTTATTAAAGCATATGTTTTTTATGAGGGGTACTCAGCGTTACGAAAATTATAGAAGGGGTACACATATGTCAAAAGTTTGGGAAACACTGATCTAAGATAATATCTGTAAATAAAAATCAAAATTGCTACAAGGAATAAGCACTTTCAGAGGTTACCACCAATCCTATAGATAACTAAAAACTATAAATTTGAAAGACAAAAGAACAAGTATGAAAAGTGGAAAGAGGAACACCCAGTTAAGGCAGGATACCAACAAATAACTAGAGGCTGCAAAGATGGAATCAGAAAAGCTCTGGATGAGTAAATCTCTGGTCCCATTGACCGACCCAAATTCGATCTCGCATCATTATCCTGGGACATGTGCTTTCATTAGTAAAAGTATAGTATTAGTATTGAAATAACTATAGTATTATAGTTGTGTTCCCATTGAAAGCAACGTAACTCACCTGCCAAGGTTGGACTTTCAGCAACTTCCACTTCTCTCCATTGCCTGTTGTCTTCTGCCTGGCTCTGGATGAATACATAGCATGGAGACCATGTGCTACAGCATAGACAGCATTGTAAATACTGTAGCTCTGGCCAGACATCTCCATTTCAAAGGCAGTTCCAGGGAGACTCCGCACATCCTCTTTTCCAGTGCAGCTTCCTTTAGCTGGTGCTTGTATACTTTTTATTGGAAATGAACAGATAAATACGGCACCCCAGAATACAGGTAGGAAATGCACTTTAGAGTGATATGGATTTAGCTTCTCAAGGAACTCTTGAAAGCCTGGTACCCTATTTGTGTGTTGGGCAAATGACAAGCTGCCATTGAAAGACAATGGGGTGAATTTGTGTGCTTGAAAGACAGAAGTGACATCCCAGAGAGCACTTAGGACCCAAACCCTCTCAATTGGGAGCCTGTTACCAAGTTCATAGCATTCAAGAATTACCCGTAAGCCTTCTATAGATTGAATGTCCCCATAAACTAGTATTACTTTGGTTTTACTATACCAGAGGACACGTCCTATTTTACCTAGATTAATCTTCCGTAAGGTACTGGGGTCATAATCTGTCAATCTTGGAATAAATTGAATTAAAGAAATACAAATATCACTCTGGATGAATTTTGGTCTCAGAATTCTGAGAAATCTCTCTCCAGTGGTGTCTTCTGGAATGAGCAGGTCAATCCAATTCCATCCAAAATATGTCAAGAGCTGAATAATCCCAGCATACTGGAGGTTTTCATTTGGAGTCATCCAGAAGAAAGAAGGAAACTGCTGTTTATCACTCAATGCCAGGTCAAAAGTGCCATAACTGAGCTGCAGAGTGGGAATAATAATGATGTGCTTTAGGCTAGGAAATCTTTTTGCAGATATGTCAAAAAGAAGGAAGGAAGCATATTTCTTTTACATCTTATTTCCATAAAAAAAATCATTAATGGGAGAGATAAAAATTAAATCTGGGGATCAACAAGTCTTTCCTGAGAGCTTTTGCAACCAGACCACCATTAGCATTTCATTCATCCCTTTTTAGACAAAGTCACCTGAAGCTTTGATTGTGCTAAGCAGAAATAGAGAGCAGATAGGAATGAGTCACAAGAGAGGAGGCTTATTCATTAAGGATTGGACAGTATTAATTACACATAGTGACACTCAAATAACATTCATCTTGCATTTTATATTATAAGGATAAGATATCTATTACTTTACTGATGAATATATTTAAAATTGTTGTGGCATAAACAAAAAGAGAGAAAGTCAAATAACATGAGGCATACCCAGAAGATGGAGAGACAACATCAGACCCTACTACAATATAAATTAAGAATGGCTAAGGCTACCAGAAGGGTGAGAACCAGAAGATAAAAGATGCATTGCATTTCTCTGGCAAAATAAATAAATAATAACTACCCAAAATAACTTTCCAATACTTTTACTTATTCTTGAAGGCTCCCCCCACCTTTTTTCCTCAGATATATATTTTTTAAACTACCCCCCTTTCCTTCTTCTTGTGCATTTATGTGAGCCCAGATACCTACCTGTGGAATCTTGTAGGCATTTAAGATGTTGGCCATCTGGATGGTGTTCTGGGAAGGGAGATCACCAATGACAGCCATGATGTTTTGGTCCTTTTCCTTCCTGTAATTGAACTGACAGAGTCCTTCCAAAAAGAAGAGACTCAAAAGGCTCTCAGAGGCTTTCACTGCCTGAAAACCATTCTCATATATCTTGGAGACCAAGGTGATATTGGGTAACAAGTTCTCATTCCTGTTGATCTCCTGAATGGCAAAACTGAAGGCTAGGATATGCTGTAAGTTTTTAGGCAATAAGCTGCAAGAAGAATTTCATTTAGTTCTATCATCTTCGAATCTGACAATAATTAAATTTAGACAGACATCTTTCATAATGCCTAAAGTGATATATCTCTCTGCTTTAATGAGTATTAGAGAAATAAAGGAAGCACTCATGTTCTGAAGCACTTCTTTGAAAAAGAAAAAACAGAATAATGGAGTTGGAAGGGCCTTTGGAGATCTTCTAGTCCAACTGTTGCTCAGCCAGGAAACCTTATACCATTTGAGGCAAGTGGTTCTCCAATCTCTTCTTAAAATCTCCCAGTGTTGTAGCATTCAGAACTTCTGATGGCAAATCATTCCACTGATGGATTATTCTAACTGTCAGGAATTTCTGCTTAGTTCTAGGTTGCTTCTCTTCTTGAGTAGTTTCTATCCATTGCTTCTTGTCCTGCCTTCAGGTGCTTTACAGAATCGATTGACTCCCACTTCTCTGTGTCTTAAATATTGAAACATTGCTATCATGTCTCCCCTAGTCCTTCTTTTTTTAAAAAAATTAAACTAGATATTCCCAATTCCTGCAACAATTTTTCATATTATTATTATTTTTATTATTATTTATTTAATTTTTATACCGGCCTTCTCCCAAAGGACTCAGGGCGGTGAACAGTCAGAATAACATACATATAAAAATGTGAAATAAAAACAATTTAAAATAATTAAACCAATTTGGCTCATCAGTTAAGATCCTCAGCATAGAATTTAGACAATTTGAAAATTTATGCCAGCCTGGCTTGGTGAAACAGAAAGGTCTTAAGTGCACGACGGAAAGTACGGAGATCTGGGATCATTCGTATCCCTGGGGGTATCCTGTTCCAAAGGGTAGGTGTCCCCACAGAGAAGGCTCTCCCCCTGGGAACCACCAGTCGACATTGCTTTAGTGACGGCACCCTGAGGAGGCCCACTCTGTGGGAGCGTACTGGTTTTCATTTCATTTCATTTTCATTTTATTAAATTTATTAAATGGTTGGTGGGAGGTTATCGGTTGCAGAAGGTGGTCTCGTAGGTACCCAGGTCCTAAGCCATGGAGCACTTTAAAGGTAAGAACCAACACCTTGAAGCGCACTCGGAAGACCACCGGGAGCCAGTGCAGCTCACGTAGGAGAGGTGTTACATGTGAGCGCCATGTCGCTCCCTAATCACCCGTGCGGCTGCATTCTGGACAAGTTGGAGCCTCTGGGTGCACCTCAAGGGGAGCCCCATGTAGAGATATGTTTTAGCCTGCAGTACAATCCCCTAATTATCTTGGCTGCTGTTCTTTGCACTCTTTCTAGAGTAATGTGGCAACCAAAACTAAAGAAGCTTTGAAGAAAAAGCTTTGATTCTTAAAATTCAGTACTTAAGATATTCCAGAAGTGAGGAAGGTTGAGGTGGAGAGTTTGAAACACACTTAAGAATCCTGTGGGCAGTTGTGCATCCCATTTTGAGAAATATAAAACTGCGTTTTAATGCAATCAAAAGGATTGTTTCATATATGTAGGGCAGCAATGGAACTGCATGACAGAAACTGATGGACTGTGCCAACTGTTAATGACAATCCAAGTACTGAAGATGTACGATTTACATTTATAACTTTTATTAAAATGCTAAATATTTTTGACTGGTTTTTTTTCCCCTTTTGCATACAAAATAAAAACTATAGAGGAACAATGTTATTAAAATTGTGAGTTTTTCTTATGAGCCGATGAATTCATGTGTAAAAGAGGCACATGAAAAACCATGCCTGCAAGGCAACATTCAACAGCTATAGTCCAGCACCTGAAATATCATTAATCAAGACAGAAGTATAAATAAGAGTCTTGCTCAACCAGTTTTTATTCTCTTCTAAAATTAAGGAATTAAACAACATATCCTGAATACAATCAATTTAAAAAAACCTTGAAAGGCATATCACAGTTTTCTTCAAAGGAGTACTTGCCTTCCTTTCAAAGACCCTACTGGGCGTTCCATAAAGTGGAGGAAAGACCATTCAGGATATGCAGTAGACACAAATTCTGCAATGACGATCTCACTGGAGAGAGCTGGGAGATTAGTCTGCAAATGTTCTTTGTTTCGACACATGGAGTTGAAGGTCTTGCTAAAAGAAGCTTGGAGGGCAAGGAGAGAGAATAAAAGCCAATGGCAAAGTATGTGAGTCTCTTTGAATGCTGAAGCAATTTGGCTCCAATCACAGCAGTGCAGCCACATCTCCATCATCACAACACTTTGCCTGGAACAATGAAAGAACCTCTATTGGTTTTAAGCATAACTAAAGTTGTAGATTACAATTATTATCATCTGAGTGATTCATACTGCAACCTACTGAGCCTCATGGAGTTGTTGTTAATCTTAAACTATTAAATCTCCCTAGGTTCTATGCCTTCCCTAAAAACAAGTTTAATTAATTAATTTAGATAATTACAAGGTGGATGAATCCCTTTCGCCAAGCTATTCAGCTCTTCTTCCAATTGAAGAAATTGTACAGTCCAAACTCATCTCTTGGTAGCTCCTCATCAGGCAAGATAGAAATGATCTTGAGATCTTGGAAACTGAGTTTTGTATGTTGGTTAAAAGAGGAGGAAACAGATTAGTAGTCAGATAAGTTTTCCCTTCTCATCTCACAACCTCCTAATTCAGAAAAATACTTACCAGTTCTGCCTCTTGCTTTGCTAAAACTGTCACATTGAAAAAAAAGAAAGTCTGTAGGAGCAGAGGTGGGATTCAGCCAGTTCAAACCGGTTCATGCGAACCGGTAGTGGCCACTTGCGGGTTGGCCTGCCCCCGCCCACCTGCCCAGCTGCAATCCTGTCCTATATTGCTGTGTTTTTGGCATCGCATGCATGTGCGGATGGCGTGTGCATGTGAATTGCCATGTTTTGTGATGTCGCATGTATGTGCAGACAGCACATATGAGCAAATTGCTGTGTTTTGTGACATCACATGCCAAATAAATTGCCGCATTGGTTGACATCGCATGGATGGCGCATATGTGAGCTCACATTTCCGGTGCTGGGCAAACCGGTTGCTACAGTATGTGAAGCCCACCTCTCTGTAGGAAGATATTTATGGAGATTCTCAATCATCAAGATCATGGTTGTCCCAAAGGTGGTTTTTTTTCTTTCTTTTCTTTTTTTTAAAAAAGCATCTGGAGTTATTTTTATTTTTTTTCTTTTCAAACATTTTACTTTTCATCCAAAAAGTTTCTTGGATGGGAAGCAAAATGTTTTCGAAGAAAAAGAAGAAGAAAATCCAATTGCCTTTTGTAAAAAGCACCTTTGGGTCTGTAGGAACCTGTGTGAGTTTTCAAGAACAGGGTCCCTCTGGTCTCTCTCTGGACATTCTGGAGCAATGAAGGGGCACGTTCTGTGTCTCCAGGTCCATCTTATCATGGTTCAAGGTATAAAACCTGATCACATGTGACTCAAGTACATTAGTGGAACTGTCTTAGACCATTTGTAGCATGTATGTACATATTTCAGGAGGATTTTCTCTGTCCTCAAGGTATCTTGAAAGAATATTATTTATATTTTTTATTCATAAAGTACCAGAATCACAGAAATAAAAAAAAATGACTGAATAACAGAGTTAGAAGGGACTTTAGAGGTCTTCTAGTTCTAACCTCCAGGAAATTTCTCCTTAGTTCTAAGTTGCTTCTCTCCTTGATTAGTTTCCATCCATTGTTTCTTGCCCTGCCTTCAGGTGACTTGGAGCATAGGTTGATCCCCTCTTCTTTGTGGCAATATCTTTAGATATTGGAACATTCCTATAGGATCTTATAGGATGCCTTCCTCTGCCAGGATCTCGTGCTAGAAAGCTGAAAGGCAGAAAATGTTTCCACAACTACAAGAGTAATTTGAATGGCTTCTAAAAAACCTGTATGTGGTGAGGCAAATGATATTTGTAAACCAGGACTCCCAGATCCCATTCACAATTACTACTATTGAGCCAGAATACCATCTATTCCCATGATGGCGAACCTATGGCACGTGTGCCACAGGTGGCACATCTAGTCATATTGGTGGGCACGCATGTGCATGCCAGCCAGCTTCTGGACCCACTGGCACTATGGAAACAGGCTGTTTCCTACCTCCAGAGGGACTGAAAAGAATGGGGAAGGCCTGTTTTTTTGCTCTCCCCAGGATCCAGAGCGTTTCTAGGAGCTGGGGGGGGGGAAACGGCCTTTCCCAACCCCCGGAGGCCCTCCGGAGGCCAGAAATAGCCCATTTGCCGACTTCCCACTGGAAGTCGGCAAACGGGCCATTTCTGGCCTCCGGAGGGCCTCCGGGGGATTGGGGGGAAGGCCATTTTGGTTTTCCCAAGGCTCCTAGAAAGGCTCTGGAGCCTGGGGAGAGTAAAAAATGGGTCTTCTGGTCCCACCAGAAGTCGGCAGATGGGTCATTTTCAGCCTCTGGAGGGCCTCTGGGGGGGGAATCATTTTTTGCCCCCCCAGCTCCTAGAAAGGCTCTTGAGCCTGGGAAGAGCAAAAAATGGGCCTAGCGGGACAACCGTGCCAAAAGCAGGAGGGGGAGTGCCAAAACCAGGGGAGTGTCTCATGCACTTGCAGAGCAGCATTGTACAGAGAATTATGGGTGTGGGCACACGCATGCACGACCCCCCGCACTCCCTCCGCTTTTGGCCTATGATGGCAAAAAGGTTCACCATCGCCTATTCTATATCTGTGGGTTTTGTTTTACTTGCCTAAGTCTAAAATCTTACTTTCCTCACCAATGAATTTCATTTTGCCTGGTAGAACCCAGTGTTCAAGTGTATCAAGATCCTTCTCTATTTTGAGCCTACCTTCTAGAGCAGGGGTCCTCCAGCTTCTTAAACAGGGGGCCAATTCACAGTCCCTCAGACTGTTGGGGGCCTGGATTGGCTGGGTGGGAATGGCTAGGTGGTCATGTGTGTTAGATTGGCGCAGGGAAAAGAAGAGGCGACTCAGCAGAGGTCCGTTCAGCACTTTATTCAGCTCATACGGAACTGCCGGCTGTGCTGCCGAGCCCTCCTTATATACAGCTCTGGCAAGCTAGCCGGCCAATGACATTCATTTAAACTTCCTGCCGGTGGATTAGCCAACCACCGGCGGATGCCCGTATAAGGACACAAAACCCCTCTCCTCCTAGTCGTCAGTCTGTCAATCCGTGGCCAACGTAGGTCACGTAGTCGCGCAGGTAGGCGGAGCGTACAAAATTACATTGGTGAAGACCGTCTGGAGAGCCCGAACCTTGGTCACTCTCACCCACTTAACAAGTCTAAATTCTATTGCAATTCACGCACTTAACAAATCTAAATTCTATTGCAATTAAAAAAATTAAGAAGACAATTATTTCTGAATAAAATTCAGAATGCAGAACATTTTCATCCAAATCATATAAATTCAGATATCATTCATGCTGCCCTTGATATCACATCAGTCTTTTTCCTAACTAGCTGCTCTCTGGTATTCAGCTCTGGTCTCAGTATGATGATGTAGCACTTGGGCAGGAAAATGCAGCCTAATAAGCCACCACTTGAGGCCAAGATAGAGAAGACTTCCACAGCCACCATGGATTTCCCCTTGGTGCTCAAGTAAGTGGGCACAAAGGACACCCAAACACTGCAGAAGACCAGCATGCTGAAGGTGATGAGTTTGGCTTCATTGAAAGTGTCAGGTAACTTCCGGGCAAAGAAGGCCACCGTGAAGCTGATGAGGGCCAGAAGCCACATGTAGCCCAGCACAACATAAAACATGATCTCCGAGCCTTCGTTGCATTGCACTAAGATCTCATCCACCTGGGAATGCATGTCCAAGTCTGGGAAAGGAGGAGAAATGGTCAACCACCCAGCACAGATGCTTGTTTGAATAAGGGAGCAAAAAACAATGACTGAGACGGACAGCCTTTTCCCCACCCACAACCTCATGCGGTTCCCTGGCTTTGTGGCCATGAAGGCCAGAACCACCGTGATGGTTTTGGCTAACACACAAGACACTGCAATGGAGAAGACAACTCCAAAAACTGCTTGTCGGAGGAGACATGTGACTGTCCCTGGACATCCGAGGAAGAGGAAGGAGCAAAGAAAACACAGCAGGAGCGAGACGAGCAGGGTGCAGGTGATATCCCAATTGTTGGCTTTGACGATGGGAGTGTTCTGGTGGAAGATGAATGTCCCCATCACCACAACTGTGATGACAGCAAAAGAAACAGCAAAGCCAGTCAGGACTTCTCCCAGGACTTCTTTGTAGGATAAGTAGATGATAATTTTGGGAATACATTGATGGTGTTTCTCATTTGGATATTGTTTTTCTGGACACCTCTCACATTGGTTGGAATCTAAAAACCATAAATAAAATATCTAAATATTCTATACATTGAATCGAATTAAGTTTTTAGCAATTATGCCTCCTGATTATGCCTGTTTTTGGAGAGAATAAAGCTATTAAAATGTTTGCTTTAAGAAAATCCTTTTAAAGTTTATTTTTTTATTCAATAGACTACATTTCGTGAACAAGAGATTACACAGTTAAATAAGGAAAAGTTTTTACTTTAAAAAAAGAAGAAAGAGACCAAGGCTAGTGAGAGATCCCAATCAATCTATGCTTTTCTTTAAAACTATATTCAAGAACCCAAACTTGGTTAGAGCTTAATGTATTTTTAAGGAAATATCCATATTGTTTTCTTACCAATCATGGTGGAAATGCTTCCCTCTGAACACTCGACACAGTCATAGCAGCAAACCTGTTTCCCCTCCTTAATCAATTTCTGGTACCCAGGATGGCAGCTCTCTACACAGGTGGCAGAAGGTGGTGTCTAATGGGAATGGCCAGAGTAAGGAATTAAAATGGATTATAATCAAGCTTTGAATCAATCAGTCAACAGTCATTCTCTTTAAATAAAAGCTAAAGAAAACCAAGGGACGCAGTGGCTTAGTGGCTAAGACTCTGAGCTTGTTGATGGAAAGATCAGAAGTTCAGCAGTTCGAATCCCTAGTGCTGCGTAATGGGGTGAGCTCCCGTTACTTGTCCCAGGTTCTGCCAATCTAGCAGTTTGAAAGAAGGTAAAAAATGCAAGTAGAAAAATAGAGACCACTTTTGGTGGGAAGGTAACAGCATTCCGTGCGCCTTTGGCTTTTAGTCATGCCGGCCACATGACCACAGAGACGTCTTTGGACAGTGCTGGCTCTTTGGCTTTGAAACAGAGATGAGTACCGCCCCCTAGAGTTGGGAACAACTAGCACATCTGTGCGTGGGGAACCTTTACATTTACCTAAAGAAAACTTTGAAATCCTTTTCCAATTATCCCTGTGTTACATTGCTACTCAAGAGTGGTATCCTGGTTTTCCATGTACTGGATGGGTGAAGCAAAACAAGCAGATTGTCCAGCTTCAGTGGCCTCCGTTGTTCTGCACATACTCAGTTATCAAAAAACCATCTGACAATTAGGAGAATGTTGCAAGGGTCTTGAGTGATGGCCTACTTTGGTATATGTCCACAGTCCATCTGTAGTATTCTGTGATGAACAATAATATGGGATAGCACAATAATCCAATCTTGCCTGTATTTCAAAATATACAAGCACTAGAACCTGCTGAAATGTTATTCAGTTTTCTGGGAAAAAGAAGAGAAAATACCACTGAATCTCTAAATGGCCAGAAGCTGTCCCCAGATTTTTGAATTGGCTATGGAAGTGGCAAGAGAAATCTTTCCTGCAAAACTTCAGGGAAATGGGATGTTTATTTTAGCCTGAAGTGGAAAATAAGTGTGATGACTTTTTTCATGCTTTGTGTTTCAACTGATTTCCCACTAAGAAGTCAGATAACTTCTTAGTGGGAAAATGCCTGCCTGCCTGCCTACCTAAAATGTCAGATAAACTCATTAGTGGGAAAGAATTCTGTCTGTCTGTCTGTCTGTCTCTCTCTCTCTCTCTCTCTCTTTGTCTATCATCCATCCATCCATCCATCCATCCATCCATCCATCCATCTATCTATCTATCTATCTATCTATCTATCTATCTATCTATCTATCTATCTATCTCAAATCTTTCCCCTTCTTGTTTGTATTATTTTAACTGTCATTTTAAATATTTTTTTAAATAAAGAAAGGTAGATTTTCCCTTCAGTATCACCTTTCAAAAGGTCAATCTTCCACCTCTCTAAGCTCTTAAGAGGCCACTGAACCCAGAGTTTCCATAACCCCAGTGAGCTCTTTCCCTACAATCTGAAAGTGTAATGTAGAATTGAGAACTACTTCATTTTTCCAGGATGCAAAAGTGTTTTAACAACATTAAAAAGATACCAAATGACCTTGGAACCACTCTAAGATTACTAGTTTAAAATCCCAGAAATTGAGAAAATATCCCCATGTTTTAGTTGGTTTGTTTAACTCGCCTGCTTAAATTTGGGATTCCATACAATGGCAGTTGTATTTATGGTGAGGCCTTCCTTTTGAGAACTCTGAGGTTCAACACCTCCAACTTGGACCTTCTGAAAGGATCGATTGGGGAAAGTAATCAAGTTGATGATATCGTATGCTGCTGCCAGGTTTCCATTCTCATTGAAAACTATTTCTTCCCCAGCACTATTGTTGAAATGGAGGTTTTTCAGAAATAAACGAAGCTGAAAGATAAGAGAGATAAGTGAGATATTGATACCAATAGTAGGTAATAGAATGTACAATTCCATGCTGGGATTTACCAAATGGTGCTCAATTAATATTTAATGAGCATCCAAATTGTAGAGTTAATAATATTTTTTTTTACATTCCAAAGGCAAAATTTTATTTTGCTGGACTATATTCACATTTTTATGTTTAAGTTTTATTAATAGAGATTTTGTTAGATATATTGCATATTTGAACTTCATGAGGGATAAGAACTATTGCTAAGAAATATAACAGAATATAGAATAACAGAGTTGGAAGGGACCTTGGAAGTCTTCTAGTCCCACCCCCTGTTCAAGCAAGAAACCCTAAACCATTTCAGACAAATGTCTGATCTTAAAAACCTCCAGTGTTTGAGCACCCACAATTTCTGGAAGCAAGTCATTCCACGGATTAACTGTTCTAACTGTCAAGAAATTTCTCCTTAGTTCTAGGTTGGTTTTCTCTTTGACTGTTTTCCATCCATTGCTGCTTCTGCCTTAATGTGCTTGGAACAATAGATTGACCAGCTCTTCTTTTTGGCAGCCTATTATACAGTATATAATGCATATCACAACAAAACGTATTTGTTGGAGTTCTGGTCCAGAAAATATGATTAGGAAATTCAATTATGAGCTTGGTAGATTAAATCAATTTTTTCTTCAAGCACGGGATAGAAAACTCTGACACCAAACATATCTTACAGAAAGACAAGTATTGTCCTTCCATCCTACCTCTGCCTCCCATTTCATTGATTATTACTATTATTATGCAAAATTCTTCCTTCTCTTCTACTTTAGTGATTTTTTCTTCTACTACTCAATTACAAAATGCTGAAAAATGGTAGGCTTTTACTGGATTTGAGAGTTTTTTTGGATTGAAGATTGGAAAGGAAGCAAGAGGCCTCTGGGAAAAAAATTACTTCCATAATTATAATATTGGTAAATAAAAATCAGATCTGTAAATATCTGAACATAATATCTGTAAATAAAAATCTAAATTGCCACAAGGAATAAGCACTTTCAGAGGTTACCACAAAGCCTCTAGACAACTAAAAATTATAAATTTGAAAGACAAAAAGAAAAAGTATAAAAAGTGGAAAGAAGGGCATCCAATTAAGGCAGAATACCAACAAATAACCTGAGGTTGCAAAGATGAAATCAGGAGAGCTAAGGCGCCAAATCTTGTGACAAAAAAAGCTTTACATGTTAAAAACAAGGAAAAAACAAGGAAAAAGTCAAGGAAATGATTGGTCTACCAATGGGAGAAAATGGCAAGTGATGAGCAACAGGGAGAAAGAACTGCTTAATTCACTTTTTTCCATCTGTTTTAACCAAAAAGGAACAAACAACCCAACCTATCAAAAAGAGAACCGTGAAAAACAGATCAGGAATACAACTTAAAATAGATAAGAAAATGGTAAATCCAGCCTAGATGATATCAAATCATCAGGACCGGATGGATTACATCCGAAGGTTCTGAAGGAACTGGCAGACATGATCTCAGGACCAATGAATTATATCTTTCAAAAATCCTGGAGTAGCTGGGAACTACGAGAGGACTGGAAAATAGCCGATGTAGTTCCCATCTTCAAAAAAGAGAAAAAACATAAATCCAAGAAATTTCAGACCTATCAGCCTGACCTCAACCTTCCCCTGGGAAGATTCTGGAAAAGATGATTATCTTTTGGAATGAATCTGTGAACACCTAGAGGCAAAAAAGTCAGAACCAAAAGCCAACATAGGTTTGTCAAAAAAAGATCATGTCAGACAAACCTTATTGTAATATTTGACAAAGTGACAAAAATTGTGGGTCAGAAAAAGAAGAGAAAAGGAAAAAGAAGGAAAAACACCAACTATATGGCACAGCTTGCAATACAACAAGTCAGATGAGGAGACCCAAACTCACTGGTAGCCTCACATTGCAGTGACCAAGGACACAGATTTAATTTTGCAGCAACAGGAAGACACCACATAAACATGACTGACATAACAACCCAAAGCAGGTATTTCAGTAGAGAGAAATTTCCTGAAGATGGGCCCCAGCATGAATCTGAAAGCTCAGATGAGTAAATCTCTGGTCCCATTGACCTACCCAAATTTGATCTTGCATTATTATCCTGAGACATGTATTTTTGCCTTCATTCGTAAAAGTTTACAGTGGCGCAGTGGTTAGAGTGCAATACTCCAGGCTACTTCTGCTGCCTGCAATTTGATTGTTCAAATCTCACCAGGGTGAAGGTTGACTCAGCCTTCCAGCCTTCCGAGGTTGGTAAAATGAGGACCCAAATTGTTGGGGGCAATATGCTGGTTCTGTAAACTGCTTAGAGAGGGCTGTAAAGCACTGTAAAGCAGTATATATGTGCTATTGCAATTGCTATACTTAGTGAATTTTGTAAAAATTGAAATTACTATATTATTATGGCTATGTTCCCATTGAAAGGCATCATTACTAACCTGCCAAGGTTGGACTTTCAGAAAATTCCACTTCTCTCCATAGCCTCTTGTCTTCTGCCTGGCTCTGGATGAATACATAGCATGGAGACCATGTGCTACAGCATAGACAGCATTGTAAATACTGTAGCTCTGGCCAGACATCTCCATTTCAAAGACAGTTCCAAGGAGACTCCTCACATCCTCTTTCCCAGTGCAGCTTCCTTTGTCTAGTACATATATATTGTATTTTGGAAATGAACAGCTAAATGCGGTACCCCAGAATGCAGGTAGGAAATGCACTTTAGAGTGATATGGATTTAGCTTCTCAAGGAACTCTTGAAAGCCTGGTACCCTATTTGTGTGTTGGGCAAATGACAAGCTGCCATTGAAGGACAATGGGGTGAATTTGTGTGACTCAAAGACAGAAGTGACATCCCAGAGAGCACTTATGACCCAAACCCTCTCTATTGGGAGCCTATGATCAAGTTCATAGCATTCAAGAATTACTCGTAAGCCTTCTATAGATTGAATGTCCCCATAAACTAATATTACTTTGGTTTTACTATACCAGAGGACACGCCCTATTTTACCTAGATTAATCTTCCGTAAAGTACTGTGGTCATAATTTGTCAATCTTGGAATAAATTGAATTACAGAAATGCAAATATCACTCTGGATGAATTTTGGTCTCAGAATTCTGAGAAATCTCTCTCCACTGGCATCTTCTGGAATGAGCAGGTCAATCCAATTCCATCCATAATATTTCAGAAGCTGAATAATCCCAGCATAGTGGAGGTTTTCATTCGGAGTCATCCAGAAGAAAGAAGGAAACTGCTGTTTATCACTCAATGCCAAGTCAAAAGTGCCATAACTGAGCTGCAGAGTGGGAATAATAATGATGTACTTTAGGCTAGGAAATCTTTTTGCAGACATGTCAAAAAGAATGAAGGAAGCACATTTCTTTTGTACCTTATTTCCATAAAAATCCTTAATGGGAGAGATAAATATTAAATCTTTGGATCAACAAGTGTTTCCTGAGAGCTTTTGCAACCAGACCACCATTAGCATTTCATTCATCCTTTTTTAGACAAAGTCACCTCAATCTTTCATTGTGCTAAGCAGAAATAGACAGCAGATAGGAATGAGTCACAAGAGAGGAGGCTTATTCATTAAGGATTGGACAGTATTAATTACCCACAGTGACACTCAAATAACTTTCAACTAGCATTTTATATTATAAGGATAACATATCTATTACTTTACTGATAAATATATTTAAAATTGTTGTGGCATAAACAAAAAGAGAGAAAGTCAAATAACTGAGGCATACCCAGAAGATGGAGAGACAACATCAGACCCTACTACAATATAAATTAAGAATGGCTAAGGCTGCCATAAGATCAAGACACAGAGATCTCTTGACACCTGAAGTGATAAAAGAGGAGGTGTTGGTGGTGGTGGAGGTGGTGGTGGAGGAGGAGGAGGAGGAGGAGGAGGAGGAAGAAGAAGAAGAAGAAGAAGAAGAAGAAGAAGAAGAAGAAGAAGAAGAAGAAGAAGAAGAAGAAGAAGAAGAAGAAGAAGAAGAAGAAGAAGAAGAAGAAGAAGAATGACAGCTACACTATTTCTTACATACTAAATGTAATGTTTGTACTTATTAAGAATTACTGCTGTTACAATAGTAATTGATGCATTGCATTCCTCTGGCAAAATAAATGAATAAAAACTACCCAAAATGACTTCCCCAATATTTTTACCTGTTTTTGAAGGCTCCCCCCCACTTTTTGTCCACAGATAGTTTTTTTAAAAACTACCCCCCTTTCCTTCTTCTTGTGCATTTATGTGAGCCCAGATACCTACCTGTGGAATCTTGTAGGCATTTAAGGTGTTGGCCACCTGAATTGTGTTCTGGGAAGGGAGATCACCGATGACAGCCATGATGTTTTGCTCCTTTCCCTTCCTGTAATTGAGCTGACAGCGGTCTTCCACAAAGAAGAGAGTGAAAAGGCTCTCAGAGGCTTTCATTGCCTGAAAACCATTCTCGTATATCTTGGAGACCAAGGTGATGTTGGGTAACAAGTTCTCATTCCTGTTGATCTCCTGAATGGCAAAACTGAAGGCTAGGACATGCTGGAAACTTTTAGGCAATGGCCTGCAAGAAGAATTTCATTTAGTTCTATCATATTCTAATGTGACAATAATTGGATTTAGACAGACATCTTTCATAAGGTTTTTCTCCATGCCTAAAATGATGTATCTCTCGGCTTTAATGAGTATTAGGGAAATAAAGGAAGCACTCATGTTCTGAAGCACTTCTTTGAAAAAGAATAAACAGAATAACAGAGTTGGAAGGGACCTTCGAGGTCTTCTAGCCCAACTGTGGCTCAGCCAGGAAACCTTATACCATTTGAGGCAAGTGGTTCTCCAATCTCTTCTTATAATCTTCCAGTGTTGGAGCATTCAGAACTTCCATTGCTTCTTGTCCGGCCTTCTTTGCAGAATTGATTGACTCTCTCTTCTTTGTGACAATGCCTTAGATATTGAAACACTGCTATCCTGTCACCCCTACTCCTTCCTTTTTCTAAAAATTAAATTAGATATTCATATTCATTTCATATATTTTAGCCCGCAGTCCCCTGATTATCTGGGCTGCTGTTCTCTGCACTGTTTCTAGAGTCTCAATGCCTTTTTAGAATGTGGCAACCAAAACTAAAGAAGGTTTGAAGAAGAAGGTTTGGTTCTTAAAATTCAGTAGTTAAGATATTCCAGAAGTGAGGAAAGCAGGGAATGAGGAGCTGAGGTGGAGTGTTTGAATTACGCTTAAGGATCCTGTGGGTAATCAAAAGGATTGTTTAACATATGTAGGGCAGCAATGGAAGTGGAGGACAGAAACTGATGGATTGTGCCAACTGTTAATGACAATGCTGAAGATGTAAGATTTTGTTACATTCACATATTTAAGCAGATCTACATTTCTCCTTACCCTGCAGTAAGCAAGGAGGCAAACAAGGAATAAGTGATAAAATTCTAATAGTGTCAATAAACAGCAGGAATGACGCAAAAAATAATATTTTTTTTATTAAAATGCTAAATATTTTTCCTGGGTTTATTTTTATTTTTGCATAAAAAATAAAATATATAGAGGAACAATGTTATTAAAATTGTGAGTTTTTCTTATGAACAGATGAATTCAGAATCAGAATATCCTGAATACAATCATGTTAAAAAAAACCTTGAAAGGCATATCACAGTTTCTTTCAAAGGAGTACTTGCCTTCCTCTCAAAGACCCTACTGGGCGTTCCATAAAGTGGAGGAAAGACCATTCAGGATATACAGTAGACACAAATTCTGCAATGACGATCTCACTGGAGAGAGCTGGGAGATTAGTCTGCAAATGTTCTTTGTTTCGACACATGGAGTTGAAGGTCTTGCTAAAAGAAGCTTGGAGGGCAAGGAGAGAGAATAAAAGCCAATGGCAAAGTATGTGAGTCTCTTTGAATGCCGAAGCAATTTGGCTCCAATCACAGCAGTGCAGCCACATCTCCATCATCACAACACTTTGCCTGGAACAATGAAAGAACCTCTATTGGTCTTAAGCATAACTAAAACTGTAGATTACAATTATTATCATCTGAGTGATTCATACTGAACCTATGGAGCCTCATGGAGTTGTTGTTAATTTTAAACTATTAAGTCTCCCTAGGTTCTATTCCTCCCCCTAAAAAACAAGTTTAATTAATTAATTTAGATAATTACAAGGTGGATGAATCCCTTTCGCCAAGCTATTCAGCTCTTCTTCCAATTGAAGAAATTGTACAGTCCAAACTCATCTCTTGGCAGCTCCTCATCAGGCAAGATAGAAATGATCTTGAGATCTTGGAAACTGAGTTTTGCATGCTGGTTAAAAGAGGAGGAAATAGATTAGTAGTCAGATAAGTTTTCCCTTCTCATCTCACAACCTCCTAATTCAGAGAAATACTTACCAGTTCTGCCCCTTGATTTGCTGAAACTGTCACATAGAAAAAAAGGAAGTCTGTAGGAGCAGAGGTGGGATTCAGCCGGTTCAGACCGGTTCATGGGAACCGGTAGTGGCCACTTGCGGGTGGGCCAGCCCCGCCCACCTGCCCAGCCGCAATCCTGTCCTATATTGCTGTGTTTTTGACATCACATGCATGTGCAGATGGCGTGTACATGTGAATTGCCATTTTTTGTGATGTCGCATGTTTGTGCGGACAGCACATATGAGCAAATTGCTGTGTTTTGTGACATCATATGCCAAATAAATTGCCGCATTGGTTGACATCGCATGGATGGCGCATATGTGAGCTCACATTTCCGGTGCTGGGCGAACCGGTTGCTACAGTATGTGAAGCCCACCTCTGTGTAGGAGGATATTTATGGAGATTCTCCATCATCCAGATCATGGTTGTCCCAAAGGTGGTTTTTTTTCTTTCTTTTCTTTTTTTTTAAAAAGCATCTGGAGTTATTTTTATTTTTTTTCTTTTCAAACATTTTACTTTTCATCCAAAAAGTTTCTTGGATGGGAAGCAAAATGTTTTCGAAGAAAAAGAAAATCCAATTGCCTTTTGTAAAAAGCACCTTTGGGTCTGTAGGAACCTGTGTGAGTTTTCAAGAACAGGGTCCCTCTGATCTCCCTCTGGACATTCCGGAGCAATGAAGGGGCACCTTCTGTGCCTCCAGGTCCATCTTATCATGGTTCAAGGTATGTAACCTGATCACATGTGACTCAAGTTCATTAGTGGAACTGTCTTAGATCATTTGTAGCATGTATGTACATATTTCAGGAGGATTTTCTCTGTCCTCAAGGTATCTTGAAAGAATATTATTTATATTTTTTATTCATAAAGTACCAGAATCACAGAAATAAAAGAAAATGACAGAATAACAGAGTTGGAAGGGACTTTAGAGGTCTTCCAGTTCTAACCTCCAGGAAATTTCTCTAAGTTGCTTCTGTCCTTGATTAGTTTCCATCCATTGTTTCTTGTCCTGCCTTCAGGTGACTTGGAGAATAGGTTGATCCCCTCTTCTTTGTGGCAATATCTTTAGATATTGGAACATTCCTATAGGATCTTATGGGATGCCTTCCTCTGCCAGGATCTCGTGCTAGAAAGCTGAAAGGCAGAAAATGTTTCTACAACTGCAGGAGTAATTTGAATGGCTTCTAAAAAATCTGTATGTGGTGAGGCAAACGATGTTTGTAAACCAGGACTCCCAGATCCCATTCACAATTACTACTATTGAGCCAGAATACCATCTATTCCCATGATGGCGAACCTATGGCACGTGTGCCACAGGTGGCATGCATAGTCATATTGGTGGGCACGCATGTGCATGCCAGCCAGCTTCTGGACCCATCGGCACTATGGCACAGGCTGCTTCCTACCTCCAGAGGGACTGAAAAGGGTGGGGAAGGCCTGTTTTTTTGCTCTCCCCAGGATCCAGAGCCTTTCTAGGAGCTGGGGGGAGGAACGGCCTTCCCCAACCCCGGAGGCCCTCCAGAGGCCAGAAACAGCCCATTTGCCGACTTCCCACTGGAAGTCAGCAAATGGGCTGTTTCTGGCCTCCGGAGAGCCTCTGGGGAGTTTTGGGGAAGGCCATTTTGGTTTTCCCAAGGCTCTGGAGCCTGGTGAGAGTAAAAAATGGGTCTTCTGGTCCTACCAGAAGTCGGCAGATGGTTCATATTCAGCCTCTGGAGGGCCTCTGGGGGGGAAACCATTTTTGCCCCCCCAGGCTCCTAGAAAGGCTCTTGAGCCTGGGAAGAGCAAAAAATGGGCCTAGCGGGCCCACCGTGCCAAAAGCGGGAGGACCCCAGGGGAGTGTTGCATGCACTTTCAGAGCAGCATTGTACAGAGAATTATGGGTGTGGGCACACGCATGCACAACCCCCCGCGCTCCCCCCGCTTTTAGCCCATGATGGCAAAAAGGTTCACCATCGCCTATTCTATATCTGTGGGTTTTGTTTTACTTGCCTAAGTCTAAAATCTTACTTTCCTCACCAATGAATTTCATTTTGCATGGTAGAACCCAGTGTTCAAGTGTATCAAGATCCTTCTCTATTTTGAGCCTACCTTCTAGAGCAGGGGTCCTCCAGCTTCTTAAACAGGGGGCCAATTCACAGTCCCTAAGACTGTTGGGGGCCTGGATTGGTTGGGTAGGAATGGCTAGGTGGTCATATGTGTTAGACTGGAAAATGCCTGGGGCAGCGCTGACTCCAAATTAGAGGCATTGGCATTTGAATGCCCCCGGTAAGTGACAATAGTCTGAGCCTCCACAGTTTTTCATTGACTGGCAGTTGCTGGTAAGCCTCGGCCAGGTCCAGTTTTGCGAATATGGTTCCACTCCCTAGCGAATGCAACAGATGTTGCACCACTGGGACTGGGTATACGCTCTGCTATTAATGATGCATTTATAGTCAGCGCAGATGCACACAGATCCCTCATGCTTCATTGGGGTCACAATGGGGGTCTCCCATGCAGCATGATCAGTCGGCTCCAATATGCCCTGGGCAATTAATTTGTCCAGTTGGGCATCAACTTTAGGCCGGAGGGCGAATGGAACCCTGCGGGGCTTTAGCTGAATTGGAGTAATTGTTGGATCTAAATTAAATGAAATGGGTTTCCCCACAAATTTACCTAGGCTCCCGTTGAAGACATCCTGGAAGTCCCCTAGGAGCTTGTCGAGTTCGCTCTGTCTAATCTGATTAATCCTGCCAATGGTGAGCCCTAGAGGCTTGAACCACTCCACTCCAAGAAGGGTTGGTTGGGTCTCCTTGACAACTGCGATGGGTAGGTCCCCGGAGAAGTCTTTGTAATGGACTCTGAGCTTGGTCCTTCCCAGGATTCTGATTGGATGGCCTCCAAAATCCACCAATTTCGCTTGCAGCGGCTTGAGGTGGCTTTTGGCAATCTGCGGCTTGAGTTTCTTGAGCTGAACCCAGTCTATAATAGAATAGGGCGATCCAGAGTCGATCTCCATGGGACATGGTGTCCCTTCCACGTGGACGGTCATGTGGAACTTGTTGGATCCCTCAGCAGTGGCGTGCACTATGGTGGTCTGATGGACCCCTCTGCTCTTTGCGTAGCCTTCTCCCTCGCGCCTGGGGTATTGGGACCGTTTGGATGGCCTCTGGTTCTCGCAGTTGCGGGTTCTGGGAGCCTCCATGACCAGTTCTGCTGCTCTGCACGCCTCGGCGATGTGGCCCTTCCTCCTGCAGCGCCTGCAGGTCGCATCCCGCCAGCGACATCTGGCATGCACGTGATCCCCGTTGCAGCTGGCACAGCGTTCCTCTCGTCCGCCATCTTGAGGGTTTTCCCACGATTGGGGTCTGAGAACCTTGTGGACGGCCATTTCAGTTCTGACTCAGACTCCGTGGTGGTCTCATCTGATGAAGGTTGGGAATCTTTGTCGATCTTGTTGATCTCCTTAGACCTCCTCATGGCGGCTGCTGCTCTCTCTGACGATTCTGCAGCTGTGGCTTCTTCGATCACATCTCTCAGTGAGACCTTCTTACAGCTGAGGAGTTTCTTCTGGACAGAAGCCTCCCTCATCCCGAAGACGATCCGGTCTCTCAGTTGGATGTCCACATTCTCAAACTCACAGCTGGCTGCGATTGTCCGGAGGGCAGATACGAAGTCCTTAACCGATTCGCCGTCTCGTTGATTCCGCTGGTGGAAATCAAACCAGTTGGCCAACGGGGTGCTGGTTGGAACGTAATGCTCTTGCAGGACTTCCTGTGGTTCAGTCCAAGGCATCAGCTCAATATCCCTCGGTGCCACGAGATCCATGGCCATTTCCAGGACCCCGGAGCCTCAGTGAGCCAGGAACAGGGCTCGCTTTCGGTTGTTGTCCAGGTTGGTGAAACCGCTGTCCACCAGGAACTGTCTGAACCGGACCATGAAAGACTTCCATTTCTCCTGGTTAGGCTCGAACGGAGCCAGCGAGATCTGTGGTCCAGACATGGTTCTGTGGTTCAGTTGCAGTGACTTCGCTCAAGTGACTCAGCTCTTGGTAAATGGTGGCGATTGTGCCACGAGGTATGCTGTCGGTTCTTTTGTGTCCTTCATCGCCAGTGTTAGATTGGTGCATGGAAAAAAAGACGTGACTCAGCAGAGGTCCGTTCAGCACTTTATTCAGCTCATACGGAACTGCCGGCTGTGCTGCTGAGCCCTCCTTATATACAGCTCTGGCAAGCTAGCCGGCCAATGACATTCATTTAAACTTCCCGCCGGTGGATTAGCCAACCACCGGCGGATGCCCATATAAGGACACAACAATGTGACTAGGTGGGTGTGGCTAGGTCATGTGACTAGGTGGGCATGGCCAATTTAACAATCCATTGAACAATGCACACAAATTAAACTTTAATTTGTTTTGCTCCTGGGGTGTTTTATTTGCTTTTGTTTGTATGTTGCTCTTTTGGTTGCCTTTTCTTTTTACTATGTCATTTTTTCAGTTATTTAGGAGTCTAGTGGTCCACATCAGGAAACTCAGTTTTGCAGTAATTCTTCTCAGCTCCAAGGAGCTTGAGAAATCTCTCTGTCTCTCTCTCTCTCTCTTTGTCTGTCTCTCTGTCTTTCTTTCTTTGTCTTTCTCCCTCTCTCTCCCCCTTTCTCTCTCTCTCTCTCTTACTCTTTCTTTCTCTTTCCCTCTCTCTTTCCTTCTCTTCCTCCCTCCCTCCCTCCCTCTCTCTCTTTCTGTCCCTCTGTCCCTCTGTTTCTCTCTCTCTTCCTCTCTCTCTCTCTTTTTCTGTCGGTCTCTCTCTCTCTGTGTCTATCTCTATCTATCTTCTGGAGGCAGGGAACGTAAGAAATGGGCTGTTTTTGTCTGTTTTTTGCCTCCCCCCCAAGCATTCTGCAGGCTAAAACCAGGTAAAAGCGGCTTGTTTTTTGGCAAAAAAATTGACCATTTTTGCCTGTTTTTTGACCTCCTTTCACCCACCCCCCTCCACCTCTGTAAGCATTCTGCAGGCTTTTGGTTCCAGCCTGCAGGGCTCCTGAAGGAACATTCTGAGCTCTGCTTAAGGGTGGATGGGGCAACCTCGTGGCTCTCCGCGGGCCGGATTAATTGCTTTAGCGGGCCGCATGTGGCCTGCAGGCTCTAGTTTGAGGACCCATATTCTAGAATATTGTCTATTTCCACCAGGTTGGTATCATCTGCAAATTTGATGAATTCCCCTTCTATTCCCCCATCAAAATTGTTTATGAAAATATTGTAGAGTACTGGGCCTAAGGCAGAGCCCTGAAGTAGTCCACTGCATATTTCCCTCCATGCGGATGCAGTTTATTTAAGGACTACATGTTGAATGCGATTGTTGAGCCAGTTACTAATCCATCTGGTGGTGATGCATTTGTTATTCTATTGTACTGTACTAACAAGAGTTAGATCACAGCTTTTTTCCCTTTTCTTTTTCCCTATAATCCTTTTTTCTCTTTGTTCTCATCTTTATTTTCATGTGTTATATGGATTTATAATAAATCTTAATTTAAAAAAAAGTTGGGGGGGAGAAATGAAGTGACTAGAGTATGTGACTACCTGAGGGGACCTCCCATTCTAGGAATGACTCAATTGGCAAATAAGGGACCTCAACAAAGGACTCCTGGCCAGTTATCAACTGATCATCAAACAGTAGCTATGGTTTGGACAGGAGTGGGTTGCTACCGGTTGGGCCACAGAAGCACTGCGTGCCTGCAAAGAAAGTTTGCGCACCCGCACGTTCCCAATAGTGAACCAGTAGTGCTGGGATTTGAATCCCACTACTGGTCTAGGAGGATCTCAAACTGCAACTCCTCAGCTGATGTAATCTGATTCTGTTCCTCCTCATGAATGGGCCTTCAGTCAGGACACTGATATTATCTGGATAGCTATGTTTGTAGTACATTTTTATGGCTGCCCGCCATATCCCAATATATAAACAATAAAAACAATAGACTCTACCATCCTGGTGATTATAATCAATCAGATAAACCACTTGATAGGCTCCATCTCACTTTGGGTTCCCCATGCCCCTTGGCAAACCTGGTGTTCAGGACCTTGTAAATGAATGTCAGTATGAGGGGCAATTTACTCTCTGTGGGGATCATATTCCAAAGCGAGGAAGCCACCATAGAGAAGATCCTTCTTCCTATGTGTCCTATCAGATGTACTTGTCAACTCTGGAAATGACTTTGGCTGACTCTGCGCTTTCTTTTGTTTTGTTTCTCATTTGCCACTCTTGGGGGAAGGGGATGTGTCAGAAGGTGGTGCTTTAACCTGCTAGACAAAACATCGACCAGGCTCAGCATGAGAACCAAGGTCATGGCAACGAACATGTGCTGAGACCGAGGGGAAAGCTGCCACTGGACTGATTGGCTAACGTGACCTGGGACACCCGAGGTGGGTGGGAAGTTTCTATCCTTTTAACAACCCTAAAGCCAGGAATTACTTAGAGCTAGCTTCACCGTTCTACATGCCAATATGATATACTCAATAAAAGGTCTTTTGAGCCTGACTGAAGCCTCAGAGTCCTGATTTGATTGGGTTCGTTACTCAGAACATGTCAGTTCCTTCTTAGCAGAGGAGTTCTTTAACACTCCCTTCCTCTGTGCTCTGGTGGGTCAGGTAGATGTCCTTGGGACAAGGTGGTTCTTCAAATAACCTGGTCTGAAGCCATGAAGGATTTCTCTTACTTGAATAGCTATCTCCAGAAACAACGACAGCAGAGATATAATGACATTTTGCTGCCATTACGATCCACAGTATAATCCCCTATATGGGCTGTTGTCTGTATTCAATCATATTCATTTTTTGTCTTATTCCAATGGTGCCCCATTGTTGTTGTAGGCTATCTTGAAAGCCTGCCTGAACTTCTTTGACCCTTTCTGAATTAAACAGAATCAAGATGGAGTTACTCTGAGTTTTTTCCCCTCACTTTCTACTTTCCCAGGACGTCGATTCCTTCATCAAGGTTAACTTAACATTCCTTTACAATCAACAAAATTACATTGGTCAGGACAGTTTGGAGAACCTTGGTCACTCTCACCCACTTAACAAGTCTAAATTCTATTGCAATTCACACACTTAACAAATCTAAATTCTATTGCAATTAAAAAAATTAAGAAGACAATTATTTCTGAATAAAATTCAGAATGCAGAACATTTTCATCCAAATCATATAAATTCAGGTATCATTCATGCTGCCCTTGATATCACATCAGTCTTTTTCCTAACTAGCTGCTCTCTTGTATTCAGCTCTGGTCTCAGTATGATGATGTAGCACTTGGGCAGGAAAATGCAGCCTAATAAGCCACCACTTGAGGCCAAGATAGAGAAGACTTCCACAGCCACCATGGATTTCCCCTTGGTGCTCAAGTAGGTGGGCACAAAGGACACCCAAACACTGCAGAAGACCAGCATGCTGAAGGTGATGAGTTTGGCTTCATTGAAAGTGTCGGGCAACTTCCGGGCAAAGAAGGCCACCGTGAAGCTGATGAGGGCCAGAAGCCACATGTAGCCCAGCACAACATAAAACATAATCTCCGAGCCTTCATTGCATTGCACTAAGATCTCATCCACCTGGGAATGCATGTCCAAGTCTGGGAAAGGAGGAGAAATGGTCAACCACACAGCACAGATGCTTGTTTGAATAAGGGAGCAAAAAACAATGACTGAGACGGACAGCCTTTTCCCCACCCACAACCTCATTCGGTTCCCTGGCTTTGTGGCCATGAAGGCCAGAACCACCGTGATGGTTTTGGCTAACACACAAGACACCGCAATGGAGAAGACAACTCCAAAAACTGCTTGTCGGAGGAGACATGTGACTGTCCCTGGACACCCGAGGAAGAGAAAGGAGCAAAGAAAACACAGCAGGAGCGAGACGAGCAGGGTGCAGGTGATATCCCAATTGTTGGCTTTGACGATGGGAGTGTTCTGGTGGAAGATGAATGTCCCCATCACCACAACTGTGATGACAGCAAAAGAAACAGCAAAGCCAGTCAGGACTTCTCCCAGGACTTCTTTGTAGGATAAGTAGATGATAATTTTGGGAATACATTGATGGTGTTTCTCATTTGGATATTGTTTTTCCGGACACCTCTCACATTGGTTGGAATCTAAAAACCATAAATAAAATATCTAAAAATTCTACACACTGAATCAAATTAAGTTTTTAGCAATTATGCCTCCTGATTATGCCTGTTTTTGGAGAGAATAAAGCTATTAAAATGTTTGCTTTAAGAAAATCCTTTTAAAGTTTATTTTTTTATTCAATAGACTACATTTCCTGAACAAGAGATTACACAGTTAAATAAGGAAAAGTTTTTACTTAAAAAAAGAAGAAAGAGACCAAGGCTAGTGAGAGATCCCAATCAATCTATGCTTTTCTTTAAAACTAAATTCAAGAACCCAAACTTGGTTATAGCATAATGTATTTTTAAAGAAATATCCATATTGTTTTCTTACCAATCATGGTGGAAATGCTTCCCTCTGAACACTCAACACAGTCATAGCAGCAAACCTGTTTTCCCTCCTTAATCAATTTCCGGTACCCAGGATGGCAGCTTTCCACACAGGTGGCAGCAGGTGGAGTCTAATGGGAATGGCCAGAGTAAGGAATTAAAATGGATTATAATCAAGCTTTGAATCAATCAGTCAGCAGTCATTCTCTTTAAATAAAAGCTAAAGAAAACAAGGGACGCAGTGGCTTAGTGGCTAAGACTCTGAGCTTGTTGATGGAAAGATCAGAAGTTCAGCAGTTCGAATCCCTAGTGCTGCGTAATGGGGTGAGCTCCCGTTACTTGTCCCAGCTTCTGCCAATCTAGCAGTTTGAAAGAAGGTAAAAAATGCAAGTAGAAAAATAGAGACCACTTTTGGTGGGAAGGTAACAGCATTCCGTGCGCCTTTGGCTTTTAGTCATGCCGGCCACATGACCACAGAGACGTCTTTGGACAGTGCTGGCTCTTTGGCTTTGAAACAGAGATGAGTACTGTGCCCTAGAGTTGGGAACAACTAGCACATCTGTGCGTGGGGAACCTTTACATTTACCTAAAGAAAACCAGCTTCTTGTAATTTCTAATAATGCAAAATTTGGAATTCCTAGGACTGATTGCTAGAATCAGTCAGAGGAGCAGTTAAAATCTGAAAAATCTTTGAATTGCTATTGAAAATTTGAATACAAATCAGTTCATGAACCCTACAGAGTGTGTAAAGGAACTTGAGATGTCCTAAAGGGGTTGATAAAACAGTATGTTTCTCATAATCTTAATGAGCTGTTAAATTTGAATAGTAAGAAGAAAATCCAAAATAAATTTGTAATGTATGGGAAATAGTGTTGAAACTGCTGAGATGACAGCAAAAATATTCTGGTCTAGTATTTGCTATCCTTTTCCATTATCCCTGTGTTACGTTGCCACTCTAATCCAAACTTGCCTGTATTTCAAAATACACAAGCATTAGTACCTGCAGAAAAGCTATTCAGTTCTCTGAGAAAAAGAAGAGGGGAAAAATGTCTAAATCTCTATATGGCCAGAAGCTGTCCCCAGATTTTTGAATTGGCTATGGGAACTGGCAAGAGAAACATTTCCTGCAAAACTCCAGAGAAATGGGATGTTTATATTAGCCTGAAGTGGAAAATAGGTGTGATGACCTTTTTTATGCTTTGTGTCTCAACTGATTGAAAAAAAAAAAGTCAGATAAACTCATTAGTGGGAGAGTCCTGTCTGTCTGTCTGTCTGTCTGTCTGTCTGTCTGTCTGTCTGTCTGTCTGTCTGTCTGTCTATCTATCTATCTATCTATCTATCTATCTATCTATCTATCTATCTATCTATCTATCTATCTCATCTATCTATCATCTACAGTATATCTATGTAAAATCTTTCCTTTTCTTGTTTGTATTATTGTAACTGTAATTTTTAATATTTTTTTCAAAGAAGAAAGGTTAATCCTCCCTTCAGTATTACCTTTCAAAAGATGAATCTTCCACCTCACTAAAGGTAAACCGCTCCAAACTGGATTGCAGAAAATACGACTTCAGCAACAGAGTGGTCAATGCCTGGAATGCACTACCTGACTCTGTGGTTTCATCCCCAAACGCCCATAACTTTAACCTTAGACTGTCTACTGTTGACCTCACCCCATTCCTATGAGGTCTGTAAGGGGCATGCATAAGTGCACCTACATTCCTACCATCACTGTCCTACTGTCCCCTTTTATTTGTACCCATTTCCTATATTCATAATCTTATACTTATATCTGTTATTTTATACAAAAATATATAAATAAATTATAATCCCAGTGAGCTCTTTCCCCACATTCTGAAAGTGTAATGTAGAATTGAGAACTTCTTCATTTTTCCAGGATACAAAAGTGTTCTAACATCATTAAGAAGATACCAAATGACCTTGGAACCACTCTAAGGTTACTGATTTAACATCCCAGAAATTGAGAAAATATCCTCATGTTTTCGTTGGTTTGTTTAACTCGCCTGCTTAAATTTGGGATTCCATCCAATGGTAGTTGCATTTATGGTGAGGCCTTCCTTTTGAGAACTCTGAGGTTCAACACCTCCAACTTGGACCTTCTGAAAGGATCGATTGGGGAAAGTAATCAAGTTGATGATATCGTATGCTGCTGCCAGGTTTCCATTCTCATTGAAAACTATTTCTTCCCCTGCACTATTGTTGAAATGGAGGTTTTTCAGAAATAAACGAAGCTGAAAGATAAGAGAGATAAGTGAGGTATTGATACCAATAGTAGGTAATAGAATGTACAATTCCATGCTGGGATTTACCAAATGGCACTCAAGTCATTTTTAACTAGCAGCCAAACTTTAGCGTTAATAGTATTTTTTTTAATATTCCAAAGGCATAATTCTATTTTGCAGGACTATATTTTATGTTTAAGTATTATTCTTTCGATGTGCCTTTACAGAGAGATTCAAAGAAACATATTCTTCCAACATTTACTGGGTATCCTGGCCACTCCGACACTCCTTATCTCCAGTGGCTGCTTAAGTCCATTACTTCTGCGCAGGTGGCTAAATTCTGCACACCAGCATTGGGGATTCATCAGAAACACATTTCTAATCCACCATAGCTATTTTACACAACAAATATGGCAAACCTGTTGCACTGCTTCTTTCTTTCTTTTTAAATATTAAACTGACTATGGGCTACAAGTTTATGAATTGTAATTTTAGACCATATATAATCGACAGGCTGGATTTTATCATAGATTTTAGCTGTTATTTATTATTTTATAGTAGAATTTTTAATTGCATATTTACTGAGTGTTTTTATTGTTTCTGGTGTCTGGTCTATGACTGTAATAAACGGAATTGACTTTAATTAAAATAGAGTTTTTTGGTCAGATATATTGCACATGTTGCACTTCATGATGGATAAAATTTTTGCTAAGAAATATAACAGAATAATAGAGTAACAGAGTTGGAAGAGATCTTGGAGGTCTTTTAGTCTTCTAGTCCAACCCCCTGCTCAAGTGGGAAACCCTATACCAGTGATGGCTAACCTTTTTGCCATCGCATGCCAGGAGGGGGGGTGGGTGGGGGAGGTTTGCATGTGTGCGTATCCACACCATAATTCTATGCGACCCCCTGCACATATGTGCGCAATCCCCCTCCCCCCGCTCCTGGCACGCGATGGCCTATTAGGCCCATTTTTCTTTCTTACCTGGCTCCAGATCGTCTCTGTGCATCTGGGGAGGGCGAAAACAGCCTTTCCCACTCCCTCGGAGGCCCTCCAGAGGCCTGAAAGGGCCCATTTCCCAACTCCTGGTGGGACAGGAAATGACCTTTTTTGCTGTACCCAGTCTCCAGAGACTCCTAGAGAGGCCTCCGAGGGAGTGAGAAAGGCTGTTTTTCACCCTTCCCAGATAAATAGAGAGGATCTGGAGCCAGGTATGAAAGGAAAACAGGCCAGGCCCTCCGGAGGCAGGAAACAGCCTGTTTCCCTACTTCTGGTGGGCCCAGAAGGCCGGAAAATTTGCTGGCCTGCACGCGCATGCGTGCCAGAGCTGAGCTGGCATGCCCACTGATATGGCTATGTGTGCCACCTGTGGCATGCATGCCATAGGTTCGTCATCACGGCCCTAAACCATTTCAGACAAATGGTTGTCCAATCTCTTCTTAAAAACTTCCAGTGTTGGAGCATCCACAATTTCTAGAAGTTAGAACAGTTAGAACAATTAATTATCTTACCCCTGCCACCAATTTCATTGATTATTATTATTATTTTGCACAATTTTTCCTTCTCTCTACTTTAGTGAATTTTTCTTCTGCTATTCAACCACAAAATGCTGCATAAAAGGTAGTCATTTACTGGATTGAAACTTGGAAAGGAAGCAGAAGACCTCTGGAAAAAAATATCTCCATATACCTAATATAATATCTGTGAAAAAAAAAAAATCAAAATTGCAACAAGAAATACATACTTTCAGAGGTTATCACCAAGCCTATAGACAACTAAAAATTATAAATTTTAAAGACAAAAGGGACAAATATAAAAACTGGAAAGAGAGGCACCTAACCAAAGCAGAATATCAACAAACTGGACCCGTGTCCCTCCTGGTTGGTACTGGCTTCCCGGGAGGTTACACGAGGCTGGCTCCAGGGTGTTATCAACGCTTCGTTGAGTGAGGGTTACTTCCCCACCGCCTTGAAAGAGGCGGTGGTGAGGCCTCTCCTCAAGAAGCCGTCCCTGGATCCGGCAATATTGGCCAACTATCGTCCTGTCTCCAACCTTCGCTTTATGGCGAAGGTTGTTGAGAGTGTGGTCGCACGACAGTTTCCGCAATTCCTGGAGGAAACATCTTATCTAGATCTGTTCCAGTCGGGTTTCAGGTCTGGGCACAGCACAGAAACGGCATTGGTCGCGTTGGTTGATGATCTCTGGAGGGCTCGGGACAGGGGTTGTTCCTCTGTTCTGGTCCTGTTAGACCTCTCAGCGGCTTTTGATACCATCGACCATGGTATCATGCTGCACCGGCTGGAAGAGTTGGGGGTGGGAGGCACCGTGTTGCGGTGGTTCTCCTCCTTTCTCTCCGACCGGTCGCAGTTTGTGTTGGCAGGGGGGCAGAGGTCGACCTCGAGGCCTCTCATTTGTGGAGTGCCGCAGGGATCGGTCCTCTCGCCCCTTCTGTTCAACATTTATGTGAAGCCGCTGGGTGAGATCATCCGTGGCTTTGGGGTGAGATACCACCAATACGCTGATGACACCCAGCTGTACATCTCCACCCCAGGCCACCCCAACGATGCCCTTGAAGTGATGTCCCAGTGCCTGGAGGCTGTACGGGTCTGGATGGGGAGGAACAGGCTCAAGCTCAACCCTTCCAAGACTGAGTGGCTGTGGCTCCCGGCATCCCGATATAGTCAGTTGACTCCATCACTGACTATTGGGGGCGAGTCATTGGCCCCCACAGAGAGGGCTCGCAATCTGGGAGTCCTCCTGGATATGCAGCTGTCCTTGGAGGAACATCTGACGGCTGTAACCAGGGGGACCTTTTGTCAGGTTCGCCTGATTCGCCAGTTGCGGCCCTTTCTTGATCGGGATTCCCTGTGCACAGTCACTCATGCCCTCGTCACCTCTCGCCTTGACTACTGCAACGCTCTCTACATGGGGCTCCCCTTGAGGAGCACCCGGAGGCTCCAGCTGGTCCAGAATGCAGCAGCGCGGGTAGTGACGGGAGCAGCATGGCGCTCCCATGTAACACCGCTCCTGCGCGAGCTGCACTGGCTCCCAGTTGTCTTCCGGGTGCGCTTCAAGGTGTTGGTTATCACCTTTAAAGCGCTCCATGGCATAGGGCCTAGCTATCTGCGAGACCGCCTGCTGCTACCGACGACCTCCCAGCGACCCGTGCGCTCCCACAGAGAGGGCCTCCTCGGGGTGCCATCAGCCAAACAATGCAGGCTGGTGACCCCCAGGGGGAGGGCCTTCTCTGTGGGGGCACCTACCCTCTGGAATCAGCTCCCCCAGAGATAAGGAGAATCCAAGACCTCAGTGCCTTCCGTCGCGCCCTTAAAACCCATTTATTTAAACAAGCCGGGCTGGCTTAAGATGAAATTTTTAACTGTTTTTAAATGTTTTAAACATTTTTAATTGGTAAATGAGTTTTAATTGGGCCAAATTTATATATCTTTTAATTGTTTTTAATATTTGTTCTGCATGTTTTTTTTAATCTGGCTGTACACCGCCCTGAGTCCTTAGGGAGAAGGGCGGTATAGAAATCCAATATAAAATAAAATAAAATAAAATAAACAAATATCTTGAGACTGCAAAAATGAAGTCAGGAAAGCTAAGGCTCAAAATGAACTAAGTCTTGCGACAAAAGTAAAAAACAACAACAACAACAACAACAACAACAAGCTTCTTTCAACATGTAAAAAACAAGAAAAATGTCAAGGAAATTATTCTCCATTAATGGGAGAAAATGGCAAGAAAGTAATGAACAACAGGAAGAAAGAAGAACTGCTTAATTAATTTTTTGCAGCTGCATGGGAAATGCAGGAATACAACTTAAAATAGATAAGAAATAGATAAGAAAAAGGTAAGAGAGCACCTGTCTACCCTACGCGAGTTCAAATCAACAGGACCAGATGGATTACACTCCAAGCTTCTGAAGGAACTGGCAAATGTGATCATAAGAGCCTATCGTCCCTGTCCTAATGTTTCCTTTAATTGTATTCATTTTATGTATTCAATTCATGCTTATACTTATTTATATTATCTAATATGTACTCGGCAAAATAAATAAATAAATAAATAAATAAATAAATAAATAAATAAATAAATAAACAAACAAACTATATCTTTCAAAAATCCTGGAGCACTGGGGAACTATCAGAGGACTGGAAAAGAGGTGACGTAGTTCCCATCTTCAAAAAAGGGGAAAAATGGATCCCGGAAACTACAGACTTATCAACCTGACATTAATACCTGGGAAGATTCTGGAAAAGAAAATCAAATAATGAATCTGTGAACACCTTAGGCAGGCAAAGTTGTAGCCAAGAGCCAACATCAGTTTGTCAAAAACAGATCATGCCAGACAAATTTTAGTGAATGAGAAAAATGCTGTGGATATAATTTACTTGGACTTCAGTTAGGCATTTGATAAGGTAGACCATAACCTACTACTTGCTAAAGTAGAAAAATGTGGGTTAGACAGCATCACCACCAGATGGATTCATAATTGGCTGACCAACCGCACTCAACATGTAGTCCTCAATGGAACTACTTCTACATTGATGGAAATATGCAGTGGGGTACCCCAAGGCTCTGTTTTAGGCCCAGTACTCTTCAACATCTTCATCAATGATTTGGATGAGGGGATAGATAAGCCATAAAATTTGCATATGACACAAAATTGGCAGAAGTAGCCAACACTCCAGAAGATAGGCTTAAAATACAGAAGGATGTTGTCAGATGTGACCTATCGGGCACTATCTAACAAAAGAAAATTCAATGGTGAAAAAAGTAAGGTTCTATATTTTGGTAAGAAAATAGTAGTAACTGTGACAGGGATCTTGGAGTCTGGTGGACAATATGAGTCAGCAGTGTGCTGCAGCTGCCAAAAAAGCCAACTCAATCCTAGGCTGCATTAACAGAGGATAGAATCAAGATCATTTGAAGTGTTAATACCACTTGACAAGGACTTGGCAGGTGGACCAAGGCAGTCATAGAATGGATCCCAGTTGATAAAAAAGTGTTTTATCAACTCTAATCACTTTTCACTGTTGATAAAAGGTGTCTACAAAAGAGACCAAAAAGAAGATGGCTCAATGACATCACCAAATATTGTGGGTCTAATTGGCAAAAGAAAGCTCAGACCATATTGGTTTGAAACATGGGAAGATGCCTTCATCCTGCAGAGCACATTTCGAATACTGCATCCAGTTTTGGTTACCACATAGAAAAAAGGATGTTGCAATTCTAGAAAGAGTGCAGAGCAACCAAGATGATTAGGGGACTGGAGACTAAGATGTGTAAAAAAAGGTTGCTCGAATTAGGTATGTCTAGTTTAATGAAAAGAAGGACTAGGTGTGATTTGATGGTGAACTTATGGCATGCAAAGCCCTCTCTGCAGCACGCCAGCGGTCGCCCCAGCCCAGCTCCACCGCGTATGCATGTGTGCCTCCAGCCGGCCACCTGGTCTTTTGGTCTCTGCCGTGCATGTGCAGGGGTGGGGCGCATGTGGGGGATGTACATGTACATGTGTGTGGGGGGGGCAGAGTTCATGCATGGGGGTTCAGGAGGCTTTCGAGGCCCAAAATGGGGTACAGGGGAAGCCCTCATGTGAATGCATTCGCGCGCGCATGCTTTGGGCACTCGGCACCAAAAAGGTTAATCATCACTGGTATAGGGTTTCCTGCCTGAGCAGGGGGTTGGACTAGAAGACCTCCAAGGTCCCTTCCAACTATGCTGTTATTAAACAGTAATTTTTAAACATATATTTTAAATCTATCTATCTATCTATCTATCTATCTATCTATCTATCTATCTATCTCTACACATACACACACACACACACACACACACATACATACATACATACACTTTCGAGGAGCAGCTAAATAAACAATATGATATTATTCCTTGTTGCATGGAATCAGAACAGAGTTCAAAAGTACTACAAGTTTATTTCATGCTACCTATTACAACATTCTGAACTATCAATGGTCAAGGTGAATTGGCACCAGAGAAGAGCCAACGGACTTAAAGGGGGGCTGGAATTAGGTCTTTTATGGGGGTGTAGAGACACCAAACTGATGATGCATTTGACCCTACCCTCGGGCTCAACCTTGTAATCTCCTACATTATCCAAATGAAAAGATGTTTTGTTCAGACACTTTCAGTTGAATGCAGACTGTTGTAAAATATACTGTTAATGAATTTTGAATTTTGTAAAAATTGAAATCAATATGTTATTACGGCTACATTCCCACTACATTAGAAGGAACCATAACTCACCTGCCAAGGTTGGACTTTCAGAAAATTCCACTTCTCTCCATTGCCTCTTGTCTTCTGCCTGGCTCTGGATGAATACATAGCATGGAGACCATGTGCTACAGCATAGACAGCATTGTAAATACTGTAGCTCTGGCCAGACATCTCCATTTCAAAGGCAGTTCCAGGGAGACTCCCCAGATCCTCTTTCCCAGTGCAGCTTCCTTTGCCTGCTGCATATATATTGTACATTGGAAGTGAACAGATAAATGCTGCCCTCCAGAATTGAGGTAGGAAATGCACTTTAGAGTGATATGGATTTAGCTTCTCAAGGAACTCTTGAAAGCCTGGGACCCTATTTGTGTGTAGGGCAAAAGACAAGCTTCCATTGAAAGACAATGCTGTAAATTTCTGAGGTTCAAAGACAGAAGTGACATCCCAGAGAGCACTTATGACCCAAACCCTCTCAATTGGGAGCCTTTGACTAATTTCATACCATTCAAGAATTACTCGTAAGCCTTCTATAGATTGCATGTCCCCATAAACTAGTATTACATTGGTTTTACTATACCAGAGGACACGTCCTATTTTACCTAGATTAATTTTCCGTAAGTTACTGGAGTCATAATTTGTCAATCTTGGAATAAGTTGAATTAAAGAAATGCAAATATCACTCTGGATGAATTTTGGTCTCAGAATTCTGAGAAATCTCTCTCCAGTGGTGTCTTCTGGAATGAGCAGGTCAATCCAATTCCATCCAAAATATTTCAAGAGCTGAATAATCCCAGCATACTGGATCTTTTCATTTGGAGTCATCCAGAAGAAAGAAGGAAACTGCTGTTTATCACTCAATGCCAGGTCAAAAGTGCCATAACTGAGCTGCAGAGTGGGAATAATAATGATGTACTTTTAGATGAAATACTGCTTCTGTAGACACATAAAAAAAATGGAAGTATTTCTTTTGGACCTGTTTTTCCATAAAAATATCTTGATGGGTGAGATAAATACTAAATCTGGAGATCAACAAGTCTTTCCTGAGAGCTTTTGCAACCAGACCACCATTAGAATTCCATTCATCCCTTTTTAGACAAAGTCACCTCAATCTTTGATTGTGCTAAGTAGAAATAGAGAGCAGAGAAAGATAAAGGTTCTACTCGCACATATGTGCTAGTCGTTCCTGACTCTAGGGGGTGGTGCTCATTTCCATTTCAAAGCCAAAGAGTCAGTGCTGTCTGAAGATGTCTCCATGTTCATATGGCCGGCATGACTAAATGCCAAACGTTCATGGAACCCTGTTACCTTCCCACCAAAGGTGGTCCCTATTTTTCTATGTACATTTTTACCTGCTTTCGAACTGCTAGATTGGCAAAAGCTGGGACAAGTAACAGGAGCTCAGCCCATTATGCAGCACTAGGGATTCGAACCACTGAACTTAGATCGACAAGGTCAGCAGCCACTGAGCCACCATATGCCTTTTAGAGAGCAGATAGGAATGAGTAATAAGAGAGGAGGCTTTTTCATTAAGGATCTGACAGTATTCATCTTCCATTTTATATTATGAGGGTAAGATAATTAGGATAAGCATATTTAAAATTCTTGTGAACATAGAATACCCAGAAGATGGAGAGACAATATTAGATACACTACTACAATATCAATTAACAATGCTTGAGGCCACCAGAAGAGTAAGAACAAGAACCCAAAGTGATAAAGAGAAAGACAAAAAGAAGGAGGAGGAGGAGGAGGAGGAGGAGGAGGAGGAGTAGGAGGAGGAGGAGGAGGAGAAGTCTGAAACAGTGATAGCTATACAGTTTCTACAAACTAAATATGTTTGTGCTTATTAAGAATTACTACACATGTAATAGTAATTGATGCATTGCATTTCTCTGACAAAATAAGTAAATAAAAACTCTAAAATGAGTTCCCCAATATTGCAGCTGTTTTTGAGGGGTTGTCTTCACTTTTAATTGCCATCCTTTCTTTTCTTGTGCATAATGTGAAACCAGATACCTGCCTGTAGAATCTTGTAGGCATTTAAGGTGTTGGCCATCTGGATGGTGTTCTGGGAAGGGAGATCACCGATGACAGCCATGATGTTTTGCTCCTTTCCCTTCCTGTAATTGAGCTGACAGCGGTCTTCCACAAAGAAGAGAGTGAAAAGGCTCTCAGAGGCTTTCATTGCCTGAAAACCATTCTCGTATATCTTGGAGACCAAGGTGATGTTGGGTAACAAGTTCTCATTCCTGTTGATCTCCTGAATGGCAAAACTGAAGGCTAGGACATGCTGTAAGTTTTTAGGCAATGGCCTGCAAGAAGAGTTTCATTTAGTTCTATAATCTTCGAATGTGACAATAACTGGATTTAGATACATCTAAAATGATGTATCTGGGCTGAAGTGCAGTGCTTGAATCTCATTGGAGGATCATGTGGGAACTGTGATCATATTTTGAGAAGTTTAATGCAATTACAAGCATTGTTTTGTGTATGTAGGGCAGCAATGCAAAAGAAGGGCAGAAACTGATGGATTTTGCCAACTGTTAACAACAATTCACATTTTATCACATTCATATATTTAAATATATGATGTAACATTTTATCATATTCATATATTTAAATATGCTCCGTCTTTCTACTAAGGAGACTTATTGCATAAGAAGTAGAAAACTCAAGCTACCACAATCTTTATAAAATAAAAGTCTTGGTATATAGAAATGTTTGCAAATCAGGAAAAAGTGACAAATTCCTAACAGTGGCATTATGTAGTATGAGAATCATAGATATGTATTTAAACCTTTATTAAAATATTCATGCTAAATAGTTTTGATATGTTTTCGCTTTCATTTTGAATGTTAAATAAAAAAATAGGGTAACAGTGTCATTAAAATCAAATCTTCTCATGAACAGGTTAATTGATGTATAACAACAGCAACATGAAAAACCATGTCTACAAGGCAACATTTAACAGCTACTGTATATTTCAGCACCTGAAATATCATTAACCAAGACAGATATATAAATAAAAAATATGCCTAAACCAGTTTTAATTCTCATCTAAAATGGAAAAATATTAATCAGAATGTCCTGAATACAATCAATTAAAAAAAAAAAAACCTTGAAAGGCATATCACAGTTTCTTTCAAAGGAGTACTTGCCATCCTTCCAAAGATCCTGCTGGATGTTCCATAAAGTGGAGAAAAGACCATTTGGGATATAAAGTTGACACAAATTCTACAATGACGATATCACTGGAGAGGGCAGGGAGATTAAGCTGCAAATGTCGTTTGTTACGACCCATGGAGTTAAAGGTCTTGTTGAAAGAAGCCTGGAGGAGAAGGAGAGAGAACAGAAACCCATGGGAAAATGTGTGAGTCTCTTTGAATGCCAAATCAATTTGGCTCCAATCAGAGCAATGCAACCACATCTTCATCACAACACTTTGACTGGAACAATGAAAGAACCTCTACTGGTTTTATGCACAACTAAAGTTGTAGATTACAATCATTATCATCTGAGTGATTCATAAGGCCACTTACTCATGAAGCTGTTGCTCATGGTAAACTTAAACTGCTAAGTCTCCCTAGGTTCTGTGCTCGCCCAAAAACCAAGTTTAATTCATTAATTCTGATAATCATTAGGTAGGGAATTCTCTTTCCCAAAGCTATTATCAAGTATTTTTCCAGTTGAAGAAATTATATGACCGAAACCCATCTCTTGGCAGCTCCTCATCAGGGAAGAAAGAAATGATCTTGGGATCATAACAGATTTTGGGAACCGAGTCTGGCTTTCTCAACCGAAGGAAAGCAATGCTGATTAAAAGAACAAGAGATGGATTAGTAGCCAAATAAATTCTCCCTTCTCACCTCACAATCTCCTAATTCAGTTAAATGCATATCTCTTCTTTGCTCACTTTGCTGACATGTTTTAAGAATGCTGTCATTGTACCAGTGCCCCCCAAAAAACTATAATCACATGCCTTAATGATTACCGTCCAGTTGCACTCACTTCTATTATGATGAAATGTTTTGAGAGATTGGTAAAGGACTATATGGTTTCATGCCTTCCCCCTCATTTGACTCATTCTAGCTTGCCTTCCCACCAACCATCTCCTTCACTTATGACTGTATGACTGCAACTCTGTTGCTTGTATCTTTACGATTTATATTTATATGTTTTCCTGATTGCTTATTTGTACCCTATGACTATCATTAAGTGTTGTATCTTATGATTCTTGATGAACATATCTTTTCTTTTATATACACTGAGAGCCTATGCACCAAAGACAAATTTCTTGTGTGTCCAATCACACTTGGCCAATAAAATTTCTATTCTATTCCATTCTATTCTATTCTATTCTATTCTATTCTATTCTATTCTATTCTATTCTATTCTATTCGAAAAACCACTCTATTGACGAAGCACTTTTGGGTGTGCTTCATGTTAGCTTGGTGCACCTGGAGGAGAAGAATACTCATGTGCGAATGCTGTTTGTTGATTTTAGTTTGGCGCTCAACACAATCATTCCTCAGCATTTGGTGAACAAACTGGGCCTATTAGGTTTTAATACTCCTTTATCTAACTAGATACTTGATTTCCTTATTGATAGCCCCCAGTTTGTGCGAGTTGGAAGAGAAGTTGCCAACTCCATCTGCAGAGTACAGATTCCCCCCAGGGCTGTGTCTTGAGTCCATTACTGTTCACCTTGATGACCCACGACTGCTGTGCCATATCTAATACGAATCATATTGTGAAGTCTGCGGATGGCACGGCAGTGTTGAGACTTATCCAGGAGAACAATGAAGATGCTTATAGGGAAGAGGTGAAGATTCTGGTGGTTTGGTGCAATAAAAGAAACCTGGTTCTAAATGTTAATAAAACAAAGGAGATCATTGCAGATTTTAGGAAGCATATCATACTCCACTCAGAATCAATGATGCAGCTTTAGAGGTAATCAACTGTGTTAAGTATCTGGGGGTGCAGACAACTAAGAATGTGGATTAGTCTCTCCACACATCATTCTTAGTGTAGCATGCAAATCAGTGTCTGTATTTCCTGTGTAGGATGAGGAGAGCACATTTTTCTCCTTCCGTCCTGGCCATTTTTTACAAAGGCACGATTGAGATCATTTTAACAAACTGCATCACTCTTCGATTTGGTGGGTAGCAGCGCCTCAGATAGAAAGTCCATACAGAGAGTGGTAAGGACAAACAAAAACTCGCTTCCCGTTATTCAGGATGCTCCTTATAAGCTCTATGTGCTTAGAGCTCAAAGTGTTGTTAAAGACCCACACACACACACAGTTCATGATCTGTTTCTGTTGCTCCCCTCCGGAAGGAGTTTTTGAAGTATTTTTACCAGGACTACCTGATTCTGTA